TCGGCCTCCTTCGCGCTCTGTGTGACCCACCCACACGTGTGGCTCCGGCACCGCAGCCGCGCCCGCGCGCGCGACGCGACGAGCGACGAGCGACGAGCGACGAGCGACGAGCGACGAGCGACGACGACGACGACGACGACGACGACGACGACGACGACGACGACGACGGCGACGACGACGACGACGACGACGACGACGACGACGACGACGACGACGACGACGACGACGACGACGACGACGCCGCTTCGCCGGAGCAGTCCCTCTGCCCAGCCGCCGACGCAAGCGGTGCGTGCGCGCGGCCCTCGCGCCGTCCCGTCTTCCCCCCTTCCCCCTCTCCCCCTGCGGCCGCCCGCCCTTTGCCTCCCTTCCCCTTCCCTTCCCCTTCCCTTCCGCTTCCCTTCTCCTCCCTTCCCCTTCCCTTGCCTTCCCCTTCTCCTCCCCGTCCCTCCCCGCCCGCCCCTCCTCCCTTCCCCTTCCCCCCTTCCCCCCCCCCCTCCCCCCGCGGCCGCCCGCCCTGCCTCTCCCCCTTCCCCGCCTCTCTCTCCTGCGCGGCGGCACGCCTCGCTGTGGCGGTGCCCCTGTTTTGGTGGGCTCCTCCGCCAGCGCAGCTCCTCTGCCTAGCCTCAGGTCGGGCCTGTCCCCCCTACAAGGGGATTTTGGGCGAAAAAAACAAACTAGTCAAACAGTGCCCTGAAATAGTCCAAAAGTGCCAACTCAATAGTCCCCAGGCTATTTTTTTTTGCCTATTTTTGCACATTCCCCCCTGTAGAGGGACAGGCCCGACTTAAGCCCAGCCGCCGACGCGAGGCATTTTGCTTGTGTGTCTGGCCTCTGCGCTTCCGAATTCCCCCCCTCGAGAGCCCAGCAGAGCCCCCCCCCCCCCAAGAGACCACCAAGACGGGCCTGGACGGTTCTGCCTAGCCGCCGACGCGAGGCATTTTGCTTGTGTGTTCTCGCCTCTGCGCTTCCGATGCACCCCTCTCGAGGGCCCAGCACAGCTCCCCCTCCTGCGTGGTGGCACACTTCGCTGTAGCGGCGCCCCTGTCTGGTTGGCTCGTTCGCCAGCGCAGTTCCTCTGCCTAGCCGCCGACGCGAGACATTTGCTTGTGTGTCCTCGCCGCTGCGCTTCCGATGCCCCCCTCCTCGAGAGCCCAGCGGAGCCCCCCCTCCCCCCCGAAGAGACCACCAAGAGACGGGCCTGGACGGCCCCAGGAGTGCCCAAGAGAGCACCGCACGGGTGCCCCCAAGAGGGGATTGTTAAAAGGGGGCCCAAGGACACACAATTAAAGGGGGTCCAAGGACACACACACATAGATGCACACAAAAACCCCAGGATCCCCCATATTTCCACTATTCTATAGGTTTTCGTCTCTCCCCCCGCTCCCGATCTCTTGTCCCCTATCTTCCTGGGGATCGACGATTCATTGTGTCTGTGTGTTTTCTCCCCTCCCGAATTGTGTGGTCCCCGACGAGGGAGGCTAATTCACGCCGCCCCCCCTTTTTGGACCGATGGCATCCGAGAGACTGCCCCGAGATGGCTCGAAAGGCCCCTTTGGAGCTGCTGGCGACAGGGTGCCTTTGCCCTGGACGCCCTCCGCCGACGGCGGAGAACGTAGAAAAGGGTTCTGCCGGCGGCCATGCTGATGAGGCTGGGGGCCAAGCTCGGACCCCCTGCAAAACCCTCATTGTGAGGTTGCAGGTTGGCCCTGCAACCCTTCATTGTAGGGTTGCAGGTTCGCACCCCTAAACCGGGGCCCGACGACGACGCCGACGCCGACGACGACGATGATGACGACGCCGACGACGACGACGGCGACGACGACGCCGACGGCGAGGACGACGACGACGACGACGACGCGGACGACGACGACGCCGACGGCGAAGACGACGACGACGCCGACGACGACGACGGAGACGACGACGACGTCACTAACGAAGACGACGACGACGACGAGGGAGGAGGGAGGACGGCGACGCCGACGATGACAACGACGAGAGAGGAGGGAAGACGACGACGACGACGACGACGACGACGACGACGACGACGACGACGACGACGACGACGACGACGACGGTGACGAAATAGGAGGGACGACGACGAGACGCCGACGACGGACGACGACAACGACGAGGGAGAAGGAGGGACGACGGTACACGCGCAAGGGCGTTCGACAGATTTCGACATGCGCGCGCGCGAAGCCCGTTTGGTAGCATGTTGTGAAAATCTTGAAAAACCTATGGTTCTTCTTAAGACTTCGCAAGAGCTCGCAGGTAAGCTTTTTTAGCACATCAGTGTTGTGAAACCGTGTGTTTTTGTATTTTTTTTTCGGAAGCTCGATTGCGAAATCCTTCCGACACCGAAGGTTTTGAAGGATTTCGACATGCGCGCGCGACGACGCGCGAGTGCGCACTTCGTCCCATTTTTTGCAAGGGATTCGTAAACAAGTGTTGTTAGAACAACACATGTCACCGCATAGTGTTTTTTTATAAAGGAACCTCAGGGGGGGAACCCGGTTGGCCTGGGACATTGTGATTTCATATTTAGGATGGACATGTGGTCATAATCATATGTGATTTACATAGGGCGCGGGGGGGGGGGGTGATAACGGCGGGGGGTGGGGGAGAGTCTATATCTCTATTCGAAAGAGAATCTATGTGGTGCGCAATCTAAGTCATGCAACCTACGCAATGCATTCTGTGTGGCGTAGGCTATGTGGTGCAATATATGTGGTGTGAGCCACGCGGTGTAGGCTATGTAGTGCTACGTGGTGTAAGCTATGTAATGCAGCATGCGTGAGGCAATCTGTGTGCTGCGAGCCCTGTGGTGCAATCTATGTGGCGCAATCTATTGCAATCGCTTGCAATGCAACGGGGGGGGGGGCGTGCCACGGGGCGGCGGCGACGGGCGGTGACGAGGCGGCGACCGCGACAACAAACGCGGCGACCGACACCCAGGCGCAATGGAGCGGCGACGGGTGGCGACTGCGAAAAGAAGCGCGGGGACGGACACCCACGTACAGACGCAGCGGCGACGGACGGCGGCGACGGGCGGCGCCGGCGACAAGAAGCCAGCCAGGCCGACGCCCAGGCCCACCAAGCAAGAACTCCTAAGTGCAGAAATTGCTTCGGGGAGCAAAGCAGCCAGAGAACTTCCTCACGAGCGGTGAGCGTATCCAAATCCTCGCCCTCGCGGTGTGGATCCCGGGGCGCGATCTGGCCATCCCTCGGACGTCCATTTCCTATGTTTTGTTCGGTTTCGTGCGTGGTTTTTTCGCCAAATGATCAAGGATGCTCCTCGATGGTCCTCGCCGAGGGAAAAACGCACACGTCCGAGCGATGCCAAGGTCCATATCCTCGCCCTCGCGGTGTGGATCCCGGGGCGCGCTCCGCGGACGCGCGCGCGGTCGCACGGACACGTTCCGCGCGGGACGTCCGCGACAAAAAACAGCCCCGTACCTGCGGGGGGGGGGCGCGGCCCGGGGGCCTGGCCCACGAGGCTGCGGGCACGAGAATGCTCTTCTGAAGGGGCCCCAGGACACACAAATAAATACGCACAAATAAACAGATTCCCTATATTTTCTAATATTTTCTAGGTTTTTGTCTTCCCCCCCACTCCCAATATTTTCCCATATTTTCTGGGGGATCGTAGATTAATTGTGTCTGTGTGTTTTTTTCCCTCCTGATCTCAGACCAAAAAAGGACGAGGCCAGAGAACTTCCGTCAGCTTCGACTCCCGGAGCCCGCTCGTCTCTGGGCCCTCTGAGCGGCTCGGGAGACGAGAGGCGGGTCCCAAGGGAGGGGTGGGCGGAGAGAGGGCGCTGGGTAAGTGGGGCTCGAGCGCGTGGGGGAGAGAACACAAAAACACGGCGTCGGAGGCTCTGGGGAAAGCGGGGTCCCCGAAGGATGGCGCATCGCGTCAATGACCCCCTGTGGAGAATGTGGGCTGATGCAGCGAGCGGAAGTGTACAGCCAACCCTTGCAATGTGGGCGCGCGATAAGGATGCAAGGGCCTTGGAAGGCCATGCCGACACTCTGCGGGCGGGGCGTGGCCAGCGAAAGCGGCCAGGGATGGGCCGGAGGGAAGGATGCACGGGTAGCCTTGGAGAGTGGCCCATCCTTACCATGCGGGTTGGCTGTATGCGAAAGGAGTGCACCTCCTTCCCGATGAACAGAAGCTCTGGTCTCTCGCATCCTCGCTGGCGTGGTCAGTCGATGTGTCTGGGCAGGTCCGTTGAGCAAGCACTGTCTGAGGGCTCACGAGGAAGCTCTCCGAGAAGGCACAAAACGCCGATGAATCATAATGCCCAAGATGGTGTCCGCCAGTCGAAGCACTCAAACAATGGGGCGTACACTGCGAGCGGGCAGGCAACATCCGTTGCCTGCCATGGCATTTACCGCTCCGACTGACATGTGGCGTATGATCAGGAAAGGGAAATTAACAGCATGCTCCACCGACGGAAGCTGCGAGGCATTCTATAAGGAACCATTGGATAAGGAATCCAGGGTCTGGAAGCCCGCGTAGGTCCAATCGTGGACTGGCAATGGATACCACTGCCGCCCTCATCAGACGATGAATCCCCGAGGGTCTGAAGTAGCCTCCTGGACACATTCCTTAACTGACGCCGTCACAGTAATGGTGGCTCAAAGCCACGATACACATGCCATATAAGGATATGACGGTTGCCGACATACATACATGCACACGTGCACTTGCACACACACACACACATGCACGTTCACATACAGATGTGCACACCTGAACTCATCAGTCATGTTGCTGCAGCCCCGTGCCGCACTGCTTGCTTCGTTGAAGTCAGGGCTGCGCTGTGGGGCAACCAGGCTGGAACACAACTTTCAATTCAAGAACGTACCCACGCGCAATTGCCAATCGGATGGGAACGGCACTGCCGCTCTCGGCCGCCCAATCAGCTAGAGAGAGAAGGAAAGAGAGAGAGAGAGAGAGAGACAGAGAGAGATTCAGAGGCTTCCGAGAGCCAGGCAGCCGCAGTCCGGGTCGTGCGGGAAACACTTCCGCCCCTTCTTTCTGTTGACGTCCGGGTCCACATCTGGAGGACATGGGCCCTTGCGCTCCTCCCCCTGCACGCCCGAGCTCCTCATCTCCCCCTGCAGCAGGAGGCCCCTCTCCGCGCGGTAGAACTGCAGCGCGCCGCTGCGGACGGCGCTCGCCGGGTCGACCCCGATGCGCCTCACGTAGTCCACCGACTCCTTCCCACTGAGATCGCCCCGCAGACGAATGCGCACGCTGCCGAGGCCCCGCGGCAACCTCTGCCGTGAAGGGAGCGAGTCCCCAGGGAGGCAGATCCTGCACCCCGCGGCCCTCCACCCAGGACCAGCTCTTCACCCTTGCCGGCTACACGTAAGAGTGACCCCAAGCAAGAAGGACCTTCGGTGCGCGACGTATCGGGGGACGCGGGGTGGTCAAACCCGGGCGCGCAAGCCGCTGCTACTGCTTCGCGTGCCGCGTTCGGGGGACACCCCGTTCGGCCCGCACCAAAGGCCACTCTGGCGAAAGGCCACTCTTACGTGTGGTCGACCTTGGCCGTTCGTGGATCTGGCCCTGGGGCCTGTGGGAAACAGCCCCAGGAGCTCGAACTCGGCGAACGAGGCCTCAGGGCTCCTTCCCCTAGTTCGGGCCTGTCCCCCTACAGGGGATTTTGCAGGAAAAATAAAAAATAGTCAACAATGCTCCAAAATGCTTTAAAAAACAAAGAAATAATCCCCAGACTATGTTTTTGACTATTTTTGAGTATCCCTCCTGTAGAGGGACATGCCCGACTGAACCCTTCCCCTCGGTGCCCGTCTCCGCTTCACGGCCGCGAGCCTCAGCTCCACCTCCTCCGGGTCCCCGCCGGCCGGGGTCGCGGCGCCCAGCGCTCCTGCGGCAGCCGGCCCCGCCGCTGCCGCACCGGCGGCGCCCTCCTCAGAGGCCTTCCAAATGGGGTCCGAGTAGATGGGGTCGGAGGATCGCGCCGCATCGCCAATGCATCGCCGACGTATGACGTCGGCGATGCACCGGCGACGCCGGCGAGGGAAACGTCGAACTCTCATCGAGCCGCATCGCCGGTTCATCGGCGATGCGGCGCGATCCTCCGACCCCATCTTCGGTCAGGAGATTTTGCTTAGCGCGTCGCTGTGGCGGCTCCCTGTGCCCTGCGAGGCGACAGCGTGACGCCCCGCTCCACGGGGAGGGAGGTTGGGCAAAGCTCGGGACGCTGTGGTGCTTGGGGACCTGGGATGCGCACAGCTGGGGAGAGCAAAAGGTACCGATACCGCTACTCCCCGGACCTCTTCTGGGGTGCGTTCTGACAAGGATTTCGAGGCGAATCCAGCGGTGGCGACGAGGGCCCCCCAGGAGGCCGAACAAGGAGAAAACGAGCAAAGGGTAGCGGTATGGGACCCTCGCCCTCCTCTGAACAGCGTGCCACCGCCCAAGCGTGGTGGGCCAGAACCGGCGGTGCCACACGCCAAGCGCCAAAGCTCCCGACTGGGAGAGGCCTGGACTTCTGCCTCGCGGCCTGCCCGGCCGCGCTGCCCGCGGGCAGCCGCTTCGCCGCCGCGGGCCGCGGCTCCGCGGGCGCGGCGACGGCGGGCTGCGGCGGCCGCGGGGCCTGCGCCGCCTCGGCAGGGCGGAGGCCCAGCCAACACAGCGGCCCCGCGAGCAGCACGGCGGCCGCCGCCACGGCGCCGAGGGGGAGCCGCAGCCTCGCGCCCAGCGCGACGGCCCGGCACCGCTTCAGCATGCTGCGCGGGGGGGGGGCCCCCCCACCGGGCCGGGCGGCGCTGGGGAGCCGCGGGGGGGACGGGCGCGCTGGCGGCTGGCCTGGGCCGCGGCCTCGCGATCCGCCGTCGCGGCCGCAGACGGCCGGCGGGCCAGCCATGGAGGCCGACGGAGGCCGAGGCGTGCGCGACGCGCGCGCGTTTGAGGAAGGTCCCCTTGGAGGCGGTGCTCCGAGCCCGGGGCCGGGGAGCCTGAGGAAGGGCCCCTTCGGAGGGCGGGAGCAGCGGAGCGCCAGGGGCCCCGCCCGCGCGAAACCCCACACTGTTTAACCCGCCGAGAGGAGCCCAGTGGCAAGAGAAAGAGAACGAACCACCACAACGGACAGATGTGTGGGCCCGTCAAAGACCAGGTGGAGGAGGGCATGGCCTCTTGGATCTGGTACGTATGAGAGGCACAGACATGCACTGGAACTGCGAGACACATTAAAGGCTACGACGAGGGGATTATGATGATGATGACGACGAAGACGATAATGATGCTGCTGATGATGATTATGCTGCTGAACATGATGTTGATGATGATGGTGCAGATGACGATGATGATGATTATGATGCTGATGCTGATGTGGATGAGGATAATGATGATGCTGATGATACCGCTGCTGCTGCTGCTGCTGCTGCTGATGATGATGATGATGATGATGATGATGGCGATGCTGGCGATGATGATGCTGCTGCTGATGATGATGCTGATGATGACGATGATGATGATGATGCTGCTGATGATGCTGACGATGATAATGCTGATTCTGATGTTTATGATGCTGCTGAGGATGACTGTGATGCTGCTGCTGCTGATGATGATGAGGATGATGATGATAATGCTGATGATGATGCTGCTGCTGCTGCTGATGATGCTAACGCTGATGTTGATGCTGATGCTGCTGCTGAGGAGGAGAAGGAGGAGGAAGAGGAGGAGGAGGAGGGGGAGGAGGAGGAAGAAGAGGACGAGGTAGAGGAGGAGGAAGAGGAGAGGAGGAGGGCGAGGAGGAGGAGGAGGAGGAGGAGGAGGAGGAGGAGGAGACGAAGAGGGCCGTGCGCACAGCTGGGCAGAGTCGACAGGCGCAATGGCTTGGGAGCCGCGCCTTGGGAACCACGACGCCGCAGTGCCCCGAGGTGGTCCTCCTCCTCCTCCTCCTCCTCCTCCTCTTCCTCCTCCTCCTCCTCCTCGTCCTCGTCCTCATCCTCCTCGTCCTCCTCGTCCTCCTCCTCCTCCTCTTCGTCCTCCTCCTCCTCCTCCTCCTTCTCCTCCTACCCCTCCCACCCCCATGGGGGCGCCTCCCGGCACTCCGCGGCCCGTCGCGCCGCCCCCCGGCATGGCCATGAGGACGCCGCCCCCTGGCGGCCCGACCTCGGCGGCGCCGCCTCCCCGCCAGGCCGCTTGATCCACCCAACGGATGGCCCACTGGCACGGCACGCTGGCCCGGGCAAGCCAACGGAGGGCCTGGCGCTCTGCTGCTACACGTCGCCGGCTGCCGGGGTGGGCAAGCGTTGGGCCCTCGTCCCGCTCGAGGGCTCAAGGCTTGGTGCGTTCAGGGGGGCGCGCCCGAGGACTGGGAGGCGCGACGGGACAAGGGCGACGAGGAAGACGCGCTGCTTCGCGACGCCGCCAGGTCGATGCCGACGGAGATGGTGCGCGCCCTCATGCAGGCAGCGGCGAAAGCCCGGGCGGCAGACCCGACGACCTGTGCGGGGGGATGCGCCGACACGGGTGCGGAGGTAGCCTGGGAGGCCACCAAGCGCTGGATGCGAGCCTGGGCAGCCCACAAGGAGGACCCCTATCATCTGCTCGCTGCGGTGCTCAAGAGCGATGCTGGGGTGCTGCCAGACGAGATCCACAAGGAGCGGAGGAAGAGCAAGGGCATCGAGTTCAGGCAGATCGAGGATAACCTGACGCCAGGGCCGAGCGCCCCCCTGACCCCCGCCTCGGTCCAGCTGGACCCGAGACCCGCGCCCGAGACGGCCACGCTGGGGGAGGCGGCGCGCCCTCAAAGCAGCGCGCATCGAGCTCCCCGCAGCCGAGCGCCCGGAGCTGGGGGGCGCCGACTGCTCAGGCTGGCTGGAGGGCCATGAGCATGAGGAGTTGATGCAGGGGTTATCGGAGGGGATGCTCTCGGGGTACGAGAGGGGGCTGGAAGCAGTGGCTCGCCTTCCGGTCCGCCCAAGATGCCTCGCCCTTGCTCGAGGGGCGCGACCGAGAGGAGCACATGGCAAACGAGGACGACTTGATCACGTTCGTGATCGTCCTGGCCAGGGTGCTGCACCAGAGCGTCGGCAACATCAAGCAGAAGCTCTTCGCCGTGCTCTATGCCCACCTCGTCGTGGGGTACGCGGACCCACTGCTCCATCGAGCGCGTCTCTGCCGTGGCGACAGGGTTTCGGGCCCCCCCTATTGCCATCACGGCGCGCTGCTCACGGAAGGAAGCTGAGGCAGCTCGCGTGGAGCCCCCTGGTCCCCCGACCCCCCCACGCTAAGCGAAGAAGCTCCGTAGGTTCCCATCAAGCTCCCCGTGAGGCCCACCATATTTATTTCACCTTTGCTTTCTGGTCACTGTAGACTGGGGGATGCGCCTCTCATGGAGGTCCTTCTGCAGCATTTTCCGTCTTGGTTGCCTGTGCTAAGTATTGATGGCGTGAGCCATCCTACGTACAGGGCTCTTGCTTCTCCTGGGGCCATCCACCGTTGGCTGGAGACGCTTGGTTCGGGCCGCGTTGCTGCCGTGCTTGTGGGGCCCCCCGTGTGAGACTGGATCGGCTGCCCGACGCAGGCCAGCGCCTGATGCGCGACCCCCGCCCAAAGCTTTAAGATCTGACGGGCATGTGCGGGGACTAGAGCGCCCCTCTGCCAGAGAAGACCAACACGTGTCTTTGGCGAATCGGATCGTCTACGCGCGCTTGTGACCCCTTTGTGTGAAGCGTGGCTCCGCTGTGCTCCTGAGCTAGTGGGGCATCCCGCCCACGGCCCACATGTTCCAGGGTGCACTAGCGTTTGGCTGCCTGAGATGAGGGCCCTGGAGGCTCGTGCTGGGGCTTCCAGGCGCCTCATTCACCAGTGCCCTTTTGGCCGCCCGTGTGCATAAACCTACGGTGCTATCTTGCGTGCGTGTGCGAACTACGGATGCCAGGCTGGCGGTCATGCCAAGGGGCCCCACGTGTAATCATGGACGTCCGCATCCGGTCCTTCGGGGGCTGACCAAAGACGACATGTGGGGCACTGCTGTTGCGAAGACGTACCTCTCGGGACTTTGTTTGCCGTTGGTTGCCACCCTGCGACAAGAAAACCACGAACGTTCGCCTGTCGTATGTGTCAACGCAACCCCAGGATCCCCTCTCCCGTTTTGAATTTCCGCCCAATGGCCGTGGTCCCATGCGTTAGCTTTTCGCTCTTGAGACCAAGCTTCGGGGACTTCTCTATTTGGGGCTGTCAGGCGACGACTGGCCCCTACCTTATGGGTTGCCGTGCTACTATACACTGGGTGACCCATACCACCACAACGAGGCTGCAATGGACTGCATTCTTCATATACAGAAGGGTGTGCGACAACTCATACGTACCGATGTGCCGACCATGTGCCATGTGAGGACCGTCTCTCTTTCTGTCTCCTCCTTGGGACTGTTGCTCAGGCTGCATCGTGGTGTAAGGGAATGGCCTGGGGGGAAGGTGAGCCGCAGTCAAGACCGACGCCAGTGTCCGATCACTTTGCAAAACAATACCCCCAGTGTGCCGAGCGCCCGGTACGCTCGACTCGTCGTTGACAGTACTGGCCACCAGTCTGATTGAAGGCTCATCTTTTTTGCCCTCCCTTTTTCCCAGCCCACACCAAAAGCAAAATTGTCAGGCTAGATGCACGGCTCCTGGGCCGATGCGCCCCCCTAGAGGCGCGGCTGCAGCTTGCTCTCTCGACCTGCTGTTGCCTCGGCTCCTGCTTCCCCGCCCCGCTTACACTCGTTCCCGAATCCGTGTAGACATCGACCTCATTCCGCCTGAGGACCAACCGTCCGACCGAGGAGGAGGATGAGACCAAGCAAGATGAGGGGGAGGACACAACGAGGACCGGGGGGCTTGATGTGACACGGCTGACCTACACACAGGCCGCACAGCCTGTGGTGGCTCCCGCCCCTCTTCTGTGGCAGACTCGCAGGAGCAGAGGTCGCTAGCAGCTCCCTCCATACCATCGTGTCCCTCGCTCCACGCTCGCCCTCGTCCCCTCCCCTCTTCCTGAGGAGGGCGAGGTAGAGGAGAGGGATAGGGGGAGGAGGAGGAGGAGGAGGAGGAGGAGGAGGAGGAGGAGGAGGAGGAGGAGAAGAAGGAGGAGGAGGAGGAGGAGGAGGAGGCGGAGGACTGCTGCCGAGCGCCACTGTCGCCACGCCCTGCGCGAGCTGCGGCGGCAAACGCGCCGCGCAGCCCTGCACGCCTAAGCAGCTGCGCCCTCCGAGCCGCACGCGCTGTAGGAGCGGCCCGCTGCTGGGGTGGGCGGCCTCGCAAGGCTGGGGCGAGGCGACGCGGCGTGAACGACACGCTCGCCCTCTGAGGCAGAACTCGGGAGCGGCCAAGAGGGGGGCGTCCAAGAGAGGGGGGGGATGCAACTCATGACCGTCGGCATGTGCGCGGAGCAGCGGGGGGGGGGACCAGGGACGTAGTGGTAGTGACATAAGAAGAGGCGCCATGGAATCGGGGGAAATGTCAGGGCCCACGCCGTGATATCCACCCCCCCCCTCTAGTCATCACCCCCCTCTTTTCCGCCCCCGAAGAACGCGCGCGGCCTGCAGAGCAGGCCGCAGGAGCGCGGCGGGGGGCCGCGCGCGCCGTGTGCCCGGGCGGCAGCGCCGACCTCTGCTCCGCCTCGTGGGCCCCAGAGGGCCCACAAGCGGGCACGCCCGCGGCAGCCGCAAGCAACCCCGGGGTCGGCGAGGGGCCCTGGCCGCGAGGCCCCGCGGCCCGCGCAGCAGCTCCCAAAAGCCCAGGTCCGCGGAGGGCGGAGAGGAGGAATCGGCCCCACGAGGCTCCCCTCGCCATCGCTCGGACGTCCATTCCCTGTGTTTTTTTCGGTTTCGTGCGTGGTTTCTTCGCCCAATGATCGAGGATGCTCCTCGATGGTCCTCGCCGAAGGGAAAATGCACACGTCCGAGCGATGTCAAGTCCCAAGCCCAAGTCGGCCAGGGGGGATTGGCTTATCTCTCCTGAGCGCTGACCCCCGTTACGTGAGCCCCGATAAAAACTTTGGACCCACTCCCTGGGGCGGGTTTTTCATCCCGAGTAGTCTCTTGACACGCTCGAAATGGGTATTAAGAATGGGCGCAAAACCCAACAGAACATGTTTTCCCAAACCGACAGCGGCCGCTGTCGGGCAAGCGGCCTCTTGTCTCAAATGGGCGACGTCCGCGGCAGCGCTGACGACGCACCCATGTTCAAAACCGACAGGAACTGCTGTCGATCTTTGCGCCCAATCTTCGCGGACCCACTTCGACCGTACCGAGTCTTTCGGATTGCCCTTTGGGCCTGGAAATGGCCCCTGGACGCCCAAATTCACGAGCAAGCTCTGGCGCGACCTGCTCGGGTCGCCAGAGCCCTGGCGCCGTCAACCTCGGGCCGTGAAAGCGACGAGCGCGCAGAGGGAAAAGCAGGAGCCAGCGACCGCCTCCTCAGCCGACTGCCGCGACAGGTGGCCCCGGCTCGGCCCTGGCCTTGCTGGGATCGGGGGGCGGCAGGATCATACCCTTGGCCAACGGCGAGGGCGAGCGCACGCCGCGCTCTGGTGCCGGGGAACCGACAATGGCAGAAACATCGCATTTTTGATGTCCGCGCGAATTTCCTGCATCGGCGCGGGAGCCCCCTGGCAGCGGCGCCTCCGGCGCCGATCCGAACCGCCAAAATTGAACGTTTGTGCGATTTTCGAAGGGGCGCGATGCACCGTCGCCCTTCCCCCCCGAAGCAAATCCTAAAAGGGGGGGTCAGAAACCAGTGGACCCCGCCTCTTACCCCTTCCCCGAAAAGAACCAGAAGGGTCTGGACCCCGCCCCGAGGGCGGGTTCAAGAGATCCCCCTAGGATGAAAATCATTCGAGGGGTCCACAACCTCCGCCCCCCAACCAGCAACGACGACGACGACGATAACGACGTCGCCGCCACCAGCAAACGACACGGTTGACGACGATCACGATGACGACGACGATGACGATGACGACGATGATGACGACGACGATGCTTACGACGACGCTTGCGACGACGCCAACGATGGCGACAACGTCAACGGCAGCGGCGGCGCGCCTATCTCCAGCACCTGCGCCAATTGCCGGCTCTACTCGAATGCTGCTAGGGACCGGATCAGCCCAAATAGAAACCTACTACGGCTCGACCCAGCCCCAAAATAATCCTGCAACTAGGGCTGGATCCAGCTCCATTGGAATCCCATTTGGGTTCGAGCAAGCTCAAACAGAAGCCAAAAAAGGCTCGATCCAGCGTTGATGAAAGCCTGCTGCGGCTGGATCCAGCCAGATTTACTCGAATCCCACTAGGGCTCGATCCAGTAACAGGATCCCTGCTAGAGCTCCATTCAGTTTTGATACCATCTTTGTACGGACCGAGCAAGCTCCCTCACAATCCTACTACGGCTCAACTCAGCTCTGATAGAGAACCCTACTTGGGTTCGATCAAACTCTTATAGAATCCTTCCAGGGCTCGACCCAGCTCTCATACAATCCTGCAACTAGGGCTCGACCCAGCCCAAGTAGAAACCTATTGGGGCTTGACCCAGCTCTAAAAGGTTTTGCAACTAGGGCTGGGTCCAGCTCTCATGGAATCTCATTTGGGTTCGATCAAGCTCAAAGAGCAGCCTGGGAAAGGCTCGATCTAACTTTGACAGAATCCTGCTACGGCTGGATCCAGCTCTAATCGGATCCCACTCGGGCTCGAGTCAGCTCTTACAGCATTCTGCAAAAGGTTTGTCAATGTCCTACTAGGGTTAGGCCCAGCTATGATGGAATCCTACTTGCGCTCGATCCAGCTCTAACAGAATCCTACTAAGGCTGGATCCAACTCTCAATGAAATCCTATCAACGGCTCGATCCAGGTCTAATCGAATTCTGCAACGGCTGGGTTCAGCTTTGGTAGAATCATGTCAGGGCTGGAACCAGGTCAGGTGGAATTCTACTGAAGCTCGATCCAGCACTAGTGCACTATAGAATTGGATCCTGCTATGGTGAAAACCTACGTGGGCTGGATCCAGTTCTGATCGATCCTTCTAAGGCTGGATCCAGCTTCAGAGCATCCCACTAGGGCGCGATCGTCATCGATGCGCCGTAGGTGTCCGAGTCGTCGTCGGCATCGTCGTCCTCGTCGTCTTTGTGGCCGTCGTTCTTGTCGTCGTCGTCGGCGGCGTCGTCGACTTCGTCGGCGTCGTTGTCGTCGTCGTCGTAGGCGTCGGCGTAAGCGTCGTCGTCGTCGTCGTGGTCGTCTTGCGTCGTCCGTCTTCGTCGTCGCCTTTTTCGTCATCTTCGGCGTCGTCGTCGTCGTCGTCGTTTGCTGGCGGCGGCGGTGACGTCGTCGTCGTCGTCGTCGTCCTCGTCGTCGTCGTCGTCGCCGCCGGGGGGAGGGGGGTTCCCTGGACCCTTCGAATAATAATCCTCTCGTGGGGGGAGGGCGTTCTGGAACCCTTCGAAGCATTTTCCACAGGGGGGGTGAACCCCCCTCCTGCCAGCAGCGGCAAAAAACGCTCTTTCTAATTGTTTGTTTCCCGATGGTAGCCGGCGGGCCGTGCCAGGACTGCTGGCACGCACAGCAAGCCAGGGGAAAAGAGGGCGGCAGCGGAGGAGAAGAGCGGGAAGAGGCCTCAGGCGTTGAGAACCCTCGCCGCGAGGAATGCGCAGGCGGCCTCAGGCACCGGAGGGCGGTGTAGCCACATGTGTGCGGTCAGTCCAGGCTGCCGAAGGGGAGAGGGGGGGCAGCGTCGTGATCCACCGGAAAGGCAGGCTGCCAGGTGACACACCTGAAACCCAGCGGGAGGGCTCGAGCTCTGTCGATCCCCAAATGGGGCCATGGCGACCCCAGTCCCCGACTTTGTGGGACTTTCGACTGGGCAAGAAATTTGGGGTCAGACTCGATATGGGGGTGCGTCTGAATGGTTCCCGGGGGAAGTCCTCATCTTTCCCAAACGGCTTGTTTTTGTTTTGGGGAGCTCGGGGATTGGAGCCGAGAAATCGCCTGCGATCTCCGACTCCTCGATTATAGGGTCGATGATCGAAATATCCAAACGTCCTGGCCATCGCAGAAGGCCTCAGGAGGTCTCCGGCTGTCTTGCAGGGGCTGCGGGCCTCGGGAACCAATGTAAGCATGTCCAGCGCGGGCGCAGATCTGTTCCAAGCCTGCTGCGACTTCTCGATTCTGCAACATACTATGGTTGAGTCGCGTGGCGGGTCGCTGGCGGGTCGCGACGCGAATCTCACAAGCCAATGCACAAAATACTCGTCGCAGGAACCGATCCTCACTTGGAGGCAGGATGCCCGCTGCAGGCCGTAGGCGCTATCGTTCTGCAGAGTGAGGTGTGGGTCGCGGGTGACGAGTGTGTCTCGCAAGAATGTGTCGCGTGTGGCGCGCGGGTGGGTCGTGGGTGAGTCGCGGGTGGGTCGCGGAATGGGGTCGCGGGTGGGTCGCGGGTGGGTCGCGAGGCGGGTCACGGGTGGATCGGTCGTGGGGCGGGCGACCGCGACAAAACAGCAACAACTACTACCTGCATGGCAGAACTCCATGTCAGCCACGCGCACAGGGTGAGACAGCTCGGCCCCGTCACTCCGATCATGCAACCTGGAATCAAAAGGAACATGATATTTACGTGTACGTCGTTTTATCCCGCCTCCCCCAGCGCCTTTGCCCCACCTTGGCGCAGCATGTCTTGAGTAGTCCTGCGGGGATGCCTCTGCTGCCTTGCGACTATCTCCTGTACTTCTTGGACATCGTGTGCAAGGTCATCCACCATCACCGCGGGCATTACGAGATCTGCCTTGGAGGCATCGCCACGGAGCTTCATCAACATCTCAAGTAGCACTTGGAGCCGTACCTGGCCATTGCCATCATTCCTTAAACCGCGGAAGATGCCCGCGTTGTCGGTTCCAAGATTGATGTCCAGCTCCTGAAGGCACCGCTGGACAACTTCATCCTGCAAGAGAAATGTAAAGGCCCCTTCTGAGAGCAGGAGGCCAGAAGGGTCATCTCTTCCACGAAATTCGCCATCTCCTCCATGTCCACCGAACTGAAACGGATCGGTGATACTCCTTCCAATACGCCCCTCCTCGTTCAGTCGGGATCTGGGTGTACTGCTGGCTCTGGCCTTGGCCTTAGCATCTTGACTTATGTGCACAATGCGTTCAACCAGCCTTTGCAGGGACAGTCTCACTTGCTCCGTCTTGTATATCTGGCTCCTCTTGACCATCATATTATCTGTGGCCAGACCTTTCAGGGTCGACTCTACAAAGACGGCGATGATCTGTCAGGCCCCCATGGGGGCAGCCAGGGTGTGGAGCCCCGTCCCTGCGTCCCTGCTCGTGCTTCTTGTCGTCCTCACGTTGCTCGTGCTGCCTCCTGCCCCCTGTCTCTCCTGCCTCTCCCGTCTCTCCAGTCCTGTCCACTCTCTGCTGTCTGGTGAGCGCGTGTGAATGTCTGTGTGCGTGTGTGTGTGTGTGTGTGTGTGTGTGTGTGTTTACAGTCGGGGCGTTGACCTAAGGAACGATACATAAGGAACGAAGCCCCTTTTTAGCCCAAGGAATAACGCGGAACGATACATAACAAATAACGCATAAGGAGCTGTAAATAACGCATGTAAAATCTAAGGAACGACCGAGCCCCTTTTGAAAAGTAAGTGTTCCTTACTCAAGCCGCTCACTGCATGTGTGAGTGCGCGTGTGCCTGAACCTCCTGGCCACTCTGGGTCGCTCTAGGATTGTGACATGAGCGCCCTGAGGCGGCCAATGGGGGCCCAAAGGGCCAAGGGGGAGCCCGAAAACTCCGAGATAGAGAAAGCGCCTCGACAATCCAAGACGGCCCACGATGGCCTCGAGCAACCCAAATCGGTCAAAGACAGCCCAAACTACCTACCAAGATGATCGCAATACGCTCATAGAGGAGGCTTACCGTGGCAAAAACAAAAAGGTGTTCCAAGTTCGCCGCCCGACAGAGGAGAGCTGCTCTTGCGAGGGAGGAGAACAGCCCCCCGCACACCTCGCACACCCTGCGCTCCGTGGCCGCCAGGCTGCATGGTCCAGGTGGTCACTGGGGATCCCGCCGCGCGTCTTCAACCAATACAGTCGGGGCGTTGACCTAAGGAACCCTAAATAAGGAACGGGGCCCCTTCCTCCGATAAGTTGAGCTTCGATTTCCCATGGGAAACCTCAGAAAAACAAAAGGCAAACTGCAGAACAATCAAGGAACACCGAGCCCCTCCCCAACGAAAAGGGTTCCTTCTTCAGGGCCCCGACTGTAACGACGGCAAACCGTGGCTGCCAAGCCCGAGGGATCCCTGTTGTCCCCGGGGGTCCCGCCGCGCGTCTTCGACGAGTCGAACTGCATGCCGCGGCCGCCGGGCCCCGGGAGGGTGCTGGTGGCCACCGGGGATCCAGCCTCGCTGGCCCTGCATACAGTCGAGGCGTTGACCTAAGGAACCCTAAACAAGGAGCGAGGCCCCCATTTTCCATAAGTTGAGCTTCGATTTCGTATCGAAGACCTAAGGCATATCCAAGGCAAGCTGCGAAACAATGAAGGAACACGGAGCCCCTCCCCAACGAAAAGGGTTCCTTCTTCAGGGCCCCGACTGTACCGCGGCCGATCAACCCCAGAGACCCCCGCGAGTCCAAGGACGACTTAATGAACAGGCGTATAGAGCGTGCGTAACTAACGAACAAACATCCCAACCAAGGAGGCGTCACGGTGGTAGGCCGTGCAGCCGCCACGTCGTCAATCAGATATGCCAACACAGACAACAAGACGTCACAGGCGTCTAGAACCGACATCCAGATCATGTAGCAAGACCAAACCATTCAAGTAGACATCGACAGTATACAACAATAACGTATATTGTCAGCATCACTAACGGACAGGGCGTGAATAGCAGGCAACGGGAGCAGACAACAATAACCTATACCACACACGTGAACCAATCACACACATCCAGCACGTACATCAGGAAGATACACGACGAGCGTGCGCGAGTAACACATGTCGGGAACAGACACGATTAAACAACACCAGTACCATACATCATACATAGGCATCATACACGTGCATCATCATCATACTACAAGAACAAGCGTCACAAACCATCGCCATGATCGGTCATGAGTCACGTGCACCAACACCACACGCCACGAAACAACATAAACTAAATACAACACTAACACACACACAGGTGCATCAATAATTTGCCCCAACACGAGTCGACGTTCAGAACAGACACCCCGACCATACAACATGCACAGGCGCACCACATCAATAACATACATCAACACACACGCATGGTGAAACTACGCCCGTACAACGCACCACGCACGTAATAAAACACCGAGGCCAACACCATACATCACTAAGCCCATACGCCAAAAACAAACACCAAACCACTTGAACAACGAGCATGCGTTGTACATCATACACATCTATCGCACACGTCCATAACACTCGCACACACACGTGTACATAAACATCAACACAGCCACCCACAAGCATAACACACTTTTTAAATCGGCGGCGCTGAGCCCCAGGCGCGGTGAATTGCGGATGAACTTAATCGAGCGCGCCATGATGAAATAATTCGGCCACGGCCATGCCGATCGGAAGTGGAATCGAAAAAAGGCACTGTAAGGCCAAAGTGCAGCGGCCAACCATCCAACGGAACCACAAACACAAACGCAAACAGACACACACGCACGCACGCACACGCACACACACACACACACCCGCACACGCACACACACGCACACACAAACACACAAGCACGCACAAGCACACACAAGCACACACAAACGCACACCCACAAACACAAACACAACCAAACACACACGCAAACTCACAAACACACACACACACACAAACACAAACACACACAAAAAAGACCCGAACAAACAAACAAACCCACACACACACGCACACGCACATGCGCACACATCACACACCACACACAAGAGACACACACAGACACGCACACACAGACACACAGACACACAGACACACAGACACACAGACACACAGACCCACACACCAACACACGACACAAACACACACACACGACACACACAATGTACACACAGGCAGACACACAGACACACACAGACACACACGCACACACAGACACACACACAACACACACCACACACAAGAGACACACACAGACACACACACAGACACACAAACAGACACACAGACACACACAGACGCACGACGCACACACCCACACACGACACACACACACGACACACATAATACACACAGACACACACACGGACAGACACACAGACACAAAGACACACACAGACACAGACACGCAGACACAGACACATAGCCACAGACACACACAGGGACAGACACACAGACACAGACACACCGACACAGACACACAAATGCGGAGACACGGACATAGAAAGACAGACACACAAATACAGGCGCACAGACACAGACACAGACACAGAGGCACACAGACACAAACACACAGACACGGACACAGACACACAGACACAGGCATACAGACACACAGACACAGACACACAGACATACAGACATAGACACACAGACGCACAGACGCACAGACACAGACACACAGACACACAGACACACAGACAGATACACAATTTTTGGTCGGCGGGGCGAGAGCGAACCTCTTCCGCTAAAAGCTAGGCGGGCTACGCGCAGCTTTAAGTAGGGAGACAGGGCACAGGCGGGCGGGGTCTCATGCGGCCGGAGTGGGCGGGGCCCGGGGTGTAGGCGGTGCCGAAGAGCTTGCACAGGAAAAAGTACGCCGTGGACAGGGGCTGGAGGCGAAGATCTGGAGGGTGAGCGAAGTGGTGGTGCCGTCAACGGCACGTCGTGAACGCCAGCCTCGAGCACTGCAGAGGAGGACGTGCCACTTGACAAAGTCGACGTCCAGGAGGGAGATGACCACCATGAAGGCGATGAGCAACGTTGTGCCACCGGATGGTGCGGAGGAGGCCCAGGAGGAAGAATAGCACCACGAAAACGAAGGCGATGTGCAACGTTGTGCCACCGGGTGGTGACCGACACACAGACAGACACACAGGCAAACCCACAAACAGATACACACAGACACACAGACAGACAAACAGACACACAGAGACAGACACACAGACAGACACACAGACAGACACACAGAGAGACCCACAGACAGACACACAGACAGACACACAAGGACAGACACACAAGCACAGACATACAGACAGACACACAGACACAGAGACAGACACAGAGACAGACACACAGACAGACACACGCACACAGTCACACACAGACGCAAAGACACACACAGACAGACACACACTGACACACACATAGACAGACACACATAGACACTCACACGGACACACACCGACACGCACACACAGACACACACAGACACACACACACACAGACACACACACAGACACACACACAGACACACACACACACCCACACACACACGCAGACACGCGCACATACACACGCATATTTACAAACACCCGCACACACACCCACACACACACACCCACACACACCCACACACACCCACACACACCCACCCACACGTACACACCCCCGTACACGCACACACACACACGCACACGCACGCACACACAGAGACACGGAGACTCTGAGATACAGAGACACATATACACAGAGACACATATACACAAGGACACAGAGAGACACAGAGAGACACAGAGAGACACAGAGCGGCAAAGAGAGAACAGAGTGACACAGAGAGACACAGCGAGACACAGAGAGACACAGAGAGAAACAGAGATACAGAGAGACACAGAGAGACACAGCGAGACACAGAGAGACACAGAGAGACACAGAGACACACAGAGAGACACACAGAGACAGAGACACAGAGACACACACAGACACACAGAGACACAGACACACGCAGACACAGACACACAGACACAGAGACACACAAACACAGACACTCACACACCACACACACACCACACACACCACACACACTCCACACCACGCACACACCACACACAGGCACACACACACCATACACACAGACACCCACACACACACGCACGTACACGCAAACACGTACACGCACGCGTACGCACATACACTTTTTGGCGTCGCGGCCCCGCGCGTGGCGACGGGGCGTAGAAAACACGCACACGCGCACTTTAAGTCGCAGAGGAACTTCAGGCGCGGTCGGCAGATGGAGGTGCCAATTGCGAACGGACTGTGTCGAACGTGCCTTGGTGAAAGAATCCAGCCACGGCGATGCAGATGTGTGGCAATCCAGCCCTCCACCGGATCGGAAACTCGAAATCGGATCGGCGACGAACTGGATCGGGAGCCACCGGAAAACGGCGCATCGGATCGGACCGCAATTGGAAACCCAACAGCCCTTCGGACCAGAATCGGAATCGACTTTGCCGCGCTGGAATCGAAACCGGAACCGAAATCCCGTACGACGGCGACGAGCGGCCACGAAACCATGATGGCCGCGAACCGGACCGAGGACCGAGAACCAGATCTCGAACCTAACCGGCCGAACCGGACCGGCCCTGACACCTGGGGTCTGGGCCCCCGGGGGCCCAGACCCCTGGGGGTCGGCGGCCCAGGCCCCCCAGGGGCCCAGTCCCTCCTCGTCCCCGCCTCGTATCGGTCCGAACCCTCTCATGGACGCCCCCTCGGACCCCCTCTGGGACCACCCCTCGGACCCCCACTCGGACCCGCCCCCTCGGACCCTTCCCCCCTTGGACCTCCCCTCGGAATCCCCCCCCGGACCCCTTTCCTCGGACCATCCCCTCGGACCCCCCCCTCGGACCTTCCCTGGGTCGTCGTCGTCGTCGTCGTCGCGGCTGTCCTCCTCCTCCTCCTCCTCTTCCTCCTCCTCCTCCTCCTCCTCCTCCCAACACCTGCGGAATCAAAACAAGAATCGACGAAAGTCAGGAACGCTGGATCGAAAAAGGAATCGGCATCCGCGCGCTGGATTGGAATCGAAACCGGAAAAAGCCAGAGGGATCGGACCGGAACAGGAATCGGCAGGGGCGCATCGGGCGCGAAACCAAACACGCACACGTAGACTCACACACACACACACACCACACACCACACACACACACACACCACACCCACTTTTTTTGTGTCGGCGGCTAGGCAGAGTCACTGCGCTGGCGAAAGAAACGACACCACACACACCACACACACACATCACACACAGACACCACACACACGCACAAGCACACACACACACACGCAGACGCAGACGCAGACGCGGCGCACACACAGACGCACACTTTTTGGCGTCGCGGCCCTGTGCGCGGCGACAGGGCGAATAAGGTCGTAAAGCAACGAACGCGCGCGCGACTAGAAACGCCCGAACACACAAGCACACACACAATCACGCATGCACACACACAAACACACAAATCCACACACAAACGCACACACACACGCACGCACGCTCACCCACACCCACACCCACACCTACCCACACCCAGACCTAGACCCAGACCCAAACCCATACCCAGACGCACACGCATACACCCACACCACACACAAACATACACACATACACGCGTACACAGACGCACACACGCACACATACACACAAACTCACTTCAAGAACAGGCGCTAATAATAGCCGCCAATGCCACGCGCCAGCAACATACGCCAACAATACACATCACACACATCAAGAACACACACATCAAGGACATGCCCTAATTGTAGACAGCCAGACCATGCGCCAAGAACATACATCGAACACATATACATCATACATCAACATCAACATCCTACATGAGGAATGAACCTTCACTGAAATTGCTTGATGGGCATCGCTCGAAGCAAAACGATTTCCTGATAGTCGTCTGGTTTCTTCCAATATGTCTTCCAGATGGTCCCCAGAGGTCAGAATGTACGTATCTCCAACATCGCCCACAAACCCCCAAATGGCCTCCAGGGACGCTCCAGTGTGACTCCAGGCCGCCTCTACGAACGGTGCTGAGACTGCCCCCAGCGGTCCCCAGAAAGCCCTAGAGCATTGCCCGAGGCAGCCGGGCTCATGACACCCGCGAAGCGCGAAGTGCGAATAACTTCGCGCTCTCGCGCCGCCCCCCCCCCCCAAGGGAGAAAAGGAGGACGAGGAGGAGGGGGAGAAGGAACGAGGACCGCGAAGCGCGAACAGCTTCGCGCCCTCGTGGGAGCCCTTGAAGACCTCTGGATGTAACCCCAAGAGGCTCCCAGATGGCTCAAAAGGGAGCCCTCGTAAAAAGCCATCGAAGAGGTCAGCGCTCCGCCCGACAAGCGCTCTGAGATGGCCGAGGCCGGGTGCCGGCGGGGCAGGGCGCGGCCCGTGCGGCTGATGTTAGAGATGCCGCACATCAGTACCAGCATACCGAAGCCATAGATGACCTGGAACTGCAACCCGTAGCCGCTGGTGAAGTGTCCTGGCACTTAGTGGGCCCTGGAGACGACAAAACCGTTTTTTTTACCGGTTCCGTTTTGCAGTTTTCTTGCTGGTTCCGACGCCGTTCTTTTTACCAATTCCGTCGCCGTTCTTTTACGGGTTCCCGCTCCGGTTCCGATCCTGGAGCCGTTTTTGTTGCCGTTTCCGGTCGCCGTTTTTTTGATGTTTCCATTTTCAAGGGACACTTTTTCGGAAACGGTGTAACAAGGCCCTGCCGTTTCCGGGGCCCACTAAGTCCTGGCAACGATTGCCCCCCCTTGGAGGTGCAGTCGCCAACCATGCAGCGGAATAGCATGAACGAGCACGACGCAACGGTGGGGCAATACTCCTCCGCGTACAGCTTCCATGTGTGGGCGCACTCTGGAATGGACTCCGCAAGCGTGCGATTGAGCAGAACATCTCCGTCGAACCCACCGCACTTCTCTATGAGAAGTTCATCGCTGTCTGTGGGCCCGATCACAGAGCGGAACCCAGAAGCAATCAACCACAACGCAACCGACACCATCACGATGACCCACATCATCGACGGTAAGCACAGCAGGACCCCAGACAATATGTTGCTCAAATCATTAAGCATGGGAGATCGGAACATTTTCACCAGCCGCGCATGGCGTAATATTCGCAATGTTCTGATAAGAATCCAGAAATTGCCAGGTGATTGCGCACGATCTGCGTCCTCACTCTCCCTCGTCTCGATCCACACGGTGAGCATCACATCGAATACTTGAACGAGTGTGATGATCGTGTCGGACCAGTTCCACTTCCAGTCATCACCGAAGAAATACTCATTCCACCCGAAGGTTCTTAGTTTGATCAACAACTCTGTGATGAAAACCAGGGCGACGACAGCCTCGATGTACAGCCAAGCGCTGCAACCGACGCAGTAGTCAATGCTCAGAGTCGTAGACAAAACACCGACCAACACCGTGATGCCAACCACTGTGTGCAGAATTGCCATCAACGACTGTTGTGACATGCGGCCAAGAACACCACCCAGCCCTGCACTCGAACTCTTTCGCCGAAGCGCAGCTACACCCTCGGGGCTGCCTTCTCTTGCGAGCTGGTCGATCACCTCGCCGATGGTCCGAGTTCTGAAGGCCGCCCGCCAGCGCTTGACCTCCTCGGCTATGTCTGCGCCAAAGTCCTCGTCCGCACCGCTGGAGGACATGACAGCCACGAAGTCGCTGAACTTAAGATTCGCATCCTCCAGCCTGTCCGGGCAAATGTCGAGGGAGGAGGAGGAGGAGGAGGAGGAGGAGGAGGAGGAAGAGGAAGAGGAGGAAGAGGAAGAGGAGGAGGAGGAGGAAGAGGAGGAGGTGGAGGAGGAGAATGCCAGGGGGGGGGGGGTCACCACTGAGGGGGCCGCCACCTCCGCCAGGCAAAGGACCCCTCTGGACTCCCAGAGATGCCCCCTCCCCACGTCCAAGACCTCCTCGATCCTCGATCGTTCCTCCTCCTCGATCTTCGACGTCCAAGCAAAAGGACCCCTCTGGACCCCCTCGGGACTCCCAGAGATGCCTCGCCCACGTCCAAGACCTCCTCGATCCTCGATCGTCACTCCTCCTCGATCTTCGATGTCCGGCTACACGCAAGAGTGACCCTAGGCAAGAGTGACCTTGAGTGCGCGGACTGAGGGGGCGCAGGGTGGCCAAATCCAAGCACGCAGGCAACCACTATCGCGTCGCGCTCGGCGATCGGGGGGGGGGGCCCGCTGAGCCCGCACTACAGGTCACTCCGGCGAGTGGTCACTCTTACGTGTTGTCGAGATGTCCAGGAGGAGATGGTGACCCCCCCGGTGGTGACCAACCTTGGCACTATCTGGCCTGGGCTGCTCCTCCTCCACGCTGTTCCCCCGGTCTCGGATGTGCTCCATCACACATGCGACCCGCCGCACCGAGAGGCCCGTCAGGCCCCTCTTCTCCAAGACCTGGAGGAAGCTACGCACCGAACAATCAGAAAAGCCCATCTCTTTCCTCATCCATCCCCCCTCCTCCTCTGATTCTTTTTCCCCTTCCCTGGGAGGGCGGATGGGAAGGAGTGAGTGTATCTGTATAGCTGCCCTCCTCCGAGGGACGGGGGGAACGGATGACCAGAGAAAGGGAAAGGGCCTGGATGACGTCGTCAGCCGCGACGGTGGCCACGTCGGCGTTCCACATGTTGATGCCGAGGGGGGAAGGGGAGGTTGAGGGGCGGCCCAAACCTCCGCCGACATGGTTCTGCTCGTGGTGTGGGTCCGAAGAGCTCTCATCACCATCCCTGGGACGTTTTTTTTTTTTTTTTTTTTTTTGTTGTGTGTGTGTGTGTGCGTTCGTTGTTGCGGTATTTCTGCCATCTCCCTCACGTTCCTGTCTGCTGCACCTGCGCTTCCCGTCCTGCCTTGTCGCTCGTCCCTTGCGGCCTTGTCCGTGCCGCCGCCGCTGCGCCTCGTCTTGTCTCGCCTGGCACTGTAGGCACCGGCCTCGCCTTTCCCCCTCGCCTGTCCCCCCGCATCCCTGCCCCGGGATCCCCCCCAGGGTGGCTCCCTGCCCCTGGCTTCTGAGTGGGCCGGCCGCGCGCGCTTCCCGCTTTCTGCTCTTCGCCGTTCTGCGCCTCGACGCTGCGCGCGAGGCCGCGACGCCTAACAATGTGCTCGCCAATTGGTTTGTCCGCTCGTCAGTTCGGGGGCCCGTGGCGGGCCTCCAGGTGCAGAAACCTTTGAAACACCCGCGGTCCCTTTTCCGTTCGTGACGCCGGAGGTCTGGGGAGGGGGGAAGGGCTTAGTGGGCCCTGAAAACGACAAGGCCGTATTGTTTAACCGGTTCCATTTTGCCGTTTGCTGGCCGGTTCCGACGCCGTTCTTTTACTGGCTCCGTCGCCGTTTTTTTACCGATTCTGGATCGGGTTCCAATCCTGGAACAATTTTCTTGCCGTTTCTGGTCGCCGTTTTTTTGCCGCTTCCATTTTCAAGAGACACTTTTTCGGAAACGGAAAAAGACGGCCCCGCCGTTTCCAGGGCCCCCTAAGGGGAGGAGCAGCAACATCGGCTACACGCATGAGTGCCCCCAGGCAAGGGTGACCTTTGGTGTGCGGCTTGCCGATCCTTGCGCGTGATGCGACCAGTCACGGCGCCAGTACCTGCGTCTTGCCTCGCGGGCCCAACGGCGGCGCGATCACTTGGTAAGAGGCTTCGGTCTGCGCACAGACGGCCCCCAAGGGCAGTCCCCGCTGGCTCCAACAGGCCCTCCGACGGATTCCAGCTGGTCCCAACAGACCCCCTGAGCAGCCTCCTCCTCCTCCTCCTCCTCCTCCTCCTCCTCCTCCTCCTCCTCCTCCTCCTCCTCCTCCTCCTCCTCCTCCTCCTCCTCCTCCCTCCTCCTCCTCCTCCTCCTCCTCCTCCTCCTCCTCCTCCTCCTCCTCCTCCTCCTCCTCCCTCCTCCTCCTCCTCCTCCTCCTCCTCCTCCTCCTCCTCCTCCTCTCCTCCTCCTCCTCCTCCTCTCCTCCTCCTCCTCCTCCTCCTCCTCCTCCTCCTCCTCCTCCTCCTCCTCCTCCTCCTCCTCCTCTTCCTCCTCCGCCTCCGCCTCCTCCTCCTCCTCCTCCTCCTCCTCCTCCTCCTCCTCCTCCTCCTCCTCCTCCTCCTCCCCCTGCCCCCCTCCTCCCCCTCCTCCCCCTCCTCCCCCTCCTCCCCCCCTCCTCTCCCTCCTCCTCCTCCTCCTCCTCCTGCTCCTCCTCCTCCTCCTCTCCTCCTCCTCCTCCTCCTCCTCCTCCTCCTCCTCCTCCTCCTCCTCCTCCTCCTCCTCCTCCTCCTCCTCCTCCCCCTCCGCCCCCTCAACACCTCAACCCTGGGGCGCGGAGCGCTCCAGGGGCGCCGCCGGCAGCGGCGCTCGCATGGCGAGGCCGCCCTGGACTTCGCGCGGGGGCCAGGCGAGGCCCGCCGGGACCGCCTCATGAGAGGCTGTCGGTGCCCAGCCCGAAAAGTCTCACCGATGTCATGGCTGCCCTGCTCTTGCCATCGCTCGGCCGTCCATTCCCCGTGCGTTTTTCGGTCTCGTGCGTGTTCTTTTCGGCTCGATGGTCCTCGATGGTCCTCGCCGAGGGAAACATGCACACGCCCGAGCGGTGCCAGGTTCTTCCCTCCCGAGCAGCCGAACATCTGCAGGAAGCGGGTCAGCTCCGACGGCGGGATCCTCGATCGGCCTGTGGAGCCTGGCCACGTGCTCCCCGCCACGCCCGCAGGGCGGTCTGCCCCGCCCGCCTTCTGGCCGACCTCCGGGGGGGGGGGGATAAGGAGGGGAAGGGAGGGACAGAGGACGACGAGCGTAAAGGCCTCCCAGCTGGGGTCCGAATAGACGGGGTCGGAGGGTCGCGCCGCATCGCCGATGCATTGCCGATGCACCTGCGACGCTGGCGATGTATCGGCGACGCCGACGTGGAGAAAGTCGAGCTCCACATCGAGCCGCATCGGCGATGCATCGGCGATGCGTCGCGGCCCTCCGATCCCATCTACTCGGACCCCATCTAGGAAGTCCAGGGAGCAACTTATCCTTTCCCTAATATCATTTCGCGAGGCGCCCGCTTTTTCGTTCTTCGCGACAACGCCGGTGACCAGCCCCGCCCCTGGCGCGCCGCAGAATGGCCGCAGGAGGGCCCCAGAAGCGCCGAGAGCGCGCAGGAAAGCTCCTGGAGCGCTCCTGCCTTGGCCAGGAAGGCATATGCACCGATCCTGGGGCCAAGGATGGGCCTGGCCAGGACCGGTGCATGTGCATAGTTCTCTTCGCCCGAAGAAGGTCCCCCCAGAATACCACCCCGACGAGCGGGGCCGTTTAGTGAACGCACCCGAAGAAGGAATTCGAACGGGGCAAGGCTGCTCAATGAACGCCCCGGGCAGTTCAGCACACGCCAATCATCGGGTCCGGGTGGTTTTTCCTCCCTCGACTTGGGCGCCCATGTCGAAGCTTCTCGAGCGGGGCGCGGCCGACGAAAGGGGCCAAGGATGGACCGAGGAGGCAAGGATGCAGGGTATCCTTGGGGAGGTTTCCCATTCTTCCTGTGCGGGAGGGCTGTATCGTATCGCATTCGCCAATGCCTGGCTGACGGCGATGTTGCTTAACGGTGATGTCGGGTCCCAAGTTGTAGGACATCGCCAATTACACACTCCTACGTCTCCAACCTGCGAACGGATCGAGCGAACACGACACAGCGAACTGGAGGAAAGCGCGAACCACGCGCTCCCACACTACCAAAACCTGCACCGCCGCCACCGACATCGCTCTTGACACGTCTACGGATTCGGCCACCTGGGCGACGAGGAGAACTGGGTGCTACGCGAGACGACCTCGCGACCTTGCGCGGCAGCTTGCGCAGGCCGCCAGAGCGGTGCGCCACGTTTTTTTCCTTTGCCGGCGGCGCAGCGAATGCTGTACACAGTTTCGACTCCACCCCCAGGCGCCGTCGGAACACCAGGCTGAACCCTCGAAGACGGCCGCCCAGAATTGGACGGAAAAGGCGAGAAAAACAAGTGAGACGACGGCTCGCCAGGCAAACCGGGAACGCAACGTGCGCCGACCTCGCAAGAGCGGTGCGCCACGCTGGAGACGAGGGCGCGCACGCGCGACCTGACGCGGGCAGCTTGCGCGCCAGCGTCGGTGTCGACGAACCCCCGCTCCTCTGCGCCGCTTACCTGGGGGCCCCACCGTGCCAGCATCACAAAGGTCCCTCCAGCGAAAGGTCACTCGTACGCTCAAGTCGGGCCTGCCCCTCGACAGGAGGAATATTCAAACATAGTAAACACATAGTCTGGAGACTATTTTTTGGACTATTTTTGAACATTATGTTTTTTTTGTTTTTTTTTTGGGGGGGGGGGGGGGCATATTTCAAAATTTTCGGCCAAAATCCACCTGTGGGGGGACAGGCCCGACCTAATCGTACGCATAGCCGACGGAGGTCTGCGGGAGGAGGCGCGACACGCCTCCCTCCTCCGCGCCCAGGCCGGCCTCCGCCTCCGCGGGCGCGCCCAATCGGCTCGGCGAGTGGTCCGGCCGCCTCGGGGCCTCTGCAGGGGAGGGGGGGTTGCGGGGCAGAAGCTCGACGGCGCAGGTGGGGGGGGCGGGAGGAGGGGTCAAGGGCTCCCAGCTTCGCGCTTCGCGCTGCGCGGAGCGCGAGGTGCGAATCACTTCGCGCTCTCGCGCCGCCTCCCAGGGGAGAAGAGGAGGACGAGGAGGACTCGGAGCCGAACCACGAAGCGCGAAGCGCGGATAACTTCGCGCCCTCGATGGGCGCCCTTGGACATAATACTCCGAATCTCAGAATAAAAGGGGTGGGGTCTGATTTTTTGGGGGCCTGTCTTGGGGGGTCCTGGGGGTCTGGGCAAGAGGCCGCCCTTTCATGGCCAGACCGGGGGGGTCATCATCATGGGGGGTGACCCCCCCCCATAATGATGATATTCGGGGTACGTAGGCACTCCCCAACTCTCTTGCCGCGAGTGCCAACCTGTGCCACGTCTGCACATCTGGGTGGCGGCTCCTCTTCAAAGCGGGGCTCTTGCCCGAGACATTGGGGGGTACCCAGACCCCCGACGCCGTGATTTTTTTCGCAACGTCGTCACCCCTAGTGGTCTGGAACCCTTCCCCGGGACCAGTTTCTCCTCCTGGGTCGTTTTTTCACGGTCCCGAAGCCCGGGAAGGGCCCCCAAAGGCCGACAATAGCGAAAAACCGGCCGTCGTGACTTTTTTTCTCGCAGCGCGAGGGGGTCTGGGCATGCCGAGGCTTCGCCCAGCGCCCGCCCGTGGGCGCCCCGTGGGCGGCCCGGGCTCGGGGTGCGTGTGTGCCGAGGCGTGGCTCCGTGCCCGCCCCGTGGGCGCCTCGTGGGCGCGCCGCGCGCTCCGGGGGGTCATGCCGAGGTCTCGCTCAGTGCCCGCCCGTGGGCGCCTCGTGGCGCGCCCCGCGCTTGGGGGGGGGTATGCCGAGGATTCGCCTGGTGCTCGCCCGTGGGCGCGCCCCGTGCCTGGAGTGCGTGCCGAGGTTTCGCTTGGTGGCCCGCCCGTGGGCGCCTGGCGGGCGCTCCCATCGCGTGAGAACATGAACTCCACGACGCGCTCGAAGTCAAAGGAGCGCCCAGGACGCCCCAGGAGGGCTCCAAGACGACCCCAAACGGGCCCGCAGAGGCGCACTTCGTTGATTTTGCTGGGGGGTCTGACAGGTTTTGCGACGGCCGAAGAAGCCTCCAAGATCGCCCCAAGTCAGCTCAAGAGGCTCCCAGGATGGCCCCGAGACGGCCCAAGCGGGTCCCCCAAAGGCCAAAGAGGCCTCCCCAGAGGGCTCCAGAGGCTCCCTTGAGGGCCTCAAGAGGGGGAACCTGAAGAGACAAGTAAAGTTTTCCCAGGAGTTTGCCCCCCAGATTGCCAGCAGGCCCTCAAGAAGCCCTCACCAAGCCTCCAGAAGCCTAATAGGATGCCCCACGGGGCCCCTGGGAGGCCCCGGGAGGTCCCAAACATGTTGCCAAATGGGACCCGAGAGGCCTCCCATGAGACCTCAACAAGCCTTCCAAAGAGGCGTCTTATCCGCTACCAAGTTTGTCAGACCCTCCTCCTCCCCTATCGAGTCCCCTATCCTCCTTCTCGCCCCCCATGGGCACGCAAACATATAGCAATAGTGGTGTAATATGGGCGTGCGGAACGAGCGAAACGATTCATCAAACTCCACTACCCTTCCGAGCCAAGACTTTTGCAGGACACCCTGGGAAACTACCATTTACATGACCCCGCCTCATCGTTCATTCCCATATGCGATAACACCACCCCAACAGGACCAGTGTTCCCCCCCTTTCATCCACGTCAAATCATACAATGTGCGCATTCGTTTATCAGATAATGTGATCACCAGCGTGGAACCCAAACAGTTAGTTCTTGCAATATATGCGGTGCAATCCAGGTTGTGCAATCAATGTGGTGCAATCTAGGTGGTGGAATCCATGTTGTGCAATCGATGTGGCGGAAAACAATGCAACGCAACGCAAAGCAATGCAACGTAACGCAGAACATTATTATAAAGCAAAATAAATCAACAACATGTACTTCAATGCCAAACAGCGCATCGCAACGCACCACAACGCAAATCAATGCCAAGCAATGCAATGATATGCAAATGAATGTGCAGCAGTGCGAAGCAGTGCAGAACTGCGCAAGATGCGAGCCTCGCAGTCCACACCGTGACCAAGGGCGGCGGCGCCAGGCGGCCACAAGCTGGCCGCCGCGGCAGCCGAGCCCTCGCACAGTCAGTGTCGTGACCAGAGACCGCGGCGGCCGGCGGCGACGGGTGGCCACGAGCCAGCCGGACCGACAGGCAGGCCCTTCCCCAAATGCGAGCACTGTTTGGGGAACCGTGTCCAATTAATGTGGGATGACGATTAATAAAAAACTGGAGAGAACGATTAAAAACATAGTTTTCTGTTATTTCTGCACAGTTTTCCGACTGGAAGAGAACGGTAAAAAAAAATCCAGCCCGCGGCCGGTTTTTGCAAATCGTCATCCCGGGCGCCGCCGCGTGAACACGACCCCCGGTCATTTATTAATCGTCATCCTCCATTATTCTTCCGATCGATACAACAGAGTCCACAAGCGCGCACGTCGGAAAAAAAAAAACGAACACTCAAGCGGTGCTACCACATCAACATCACAAAAATATTAAGCGCCACACATGTCGTTTCGCCAGGTTTGCTGATGTTCTGCTCGCGCGCAATTGCTGAACCGTCGGGGAACAATCGGACTTTAGGAATCTCGTCCAGAACCTGCATTTTCATCTGACCACGCGATGCGTCCGCAATGATCTAGCATGCGCCCAATGTGCAAATCCAAAGTAACCAATGCCGCGCGGGCCATGGTTTTTGAAACATTCTAGGATCGAGCTCTTTTCAAACTGGATGCTTTTCAACAGCCGAAATTCCAAATTTCTTACATTTCTGCGGGCACGTACTTCCCCGTTTTACCCTTATCATCGTCGTCAATCGCCGCCATTGCCGCGCCATCATCATCACAATCACCTTCATCACTGATGTGGGGACAATCTCATCATCATCGTCATGGCCAACATCAGCGCCACCATTGGCATGGCCGTCGTCATTCTCACCATCGTCATCACCACCATCACTGTTATCATCACCCTCGCCGCCAACGCGATCGTCATCATCATCCGTCATCGTCAACACCATCATCATCATCACTATCGTCGGGGCCATCACCGTCGCCGCCACCGTCTTCTTCGTCGATCTTCCTGCAGTTGTCGACGTCATCGTGATATCGCGCCAGCCCGATTTACCGACGACCCGCCTTGAACTGCCCGCGCGCAAGCGCGGCGTTTGAGACTCGCGGGGGACTTCCCAACGGTAAGCGCTATCGCGGCTGCATCATTTGTGCCAAAAAAAGGCTGGCCGACTTACGGGTGAGCGGGCGCGCGCGAGTGCGGCCGCAAATATTCACCAGCAAGTTCAAACCAGCAGCTGCAATCGTAGCCGATCGTGTTTGCCAAACAAATTGCGGATGGATGGGTAGGATGGTTGCGCGAGCGGTGGAGTTGACGTCGAGACGGTCGTAGGTACATCTCTTTTGACAAGCAATATCACTTGTACCACCCTGTCCACCCCGGATTTATCGGCTCCCCCTGGGACGTTGCAGATTACGTATGATTTTGCCTCGTCGTTCATTCTCCCTATGAACTCATACCATGCAAAGCCAAACAATATAGCCGCCCCTCATCCCTGTCACATAACACTATGCGCGCGCACTCGTTTACCGCAACAGATTCCAATAACCCATGGGAACATATTACAAGAAGTCCACACGCATGCGCACATGTCGGACTTATGCCGTTTTGCAAACGTATGAGCAAGCACACACCAAACATGTCTCTAGAATCGCTGTTCGCTTTTTGTGCACATGTTCAGCCCGCGCGCATTTTTTTTTGAAACCGTGGGGAAGTCATCTGATTTTGCCCATCTCGTCAAAAACCCGCATTCTGATATCACCTCGCGGTGCATCCGCGTTGATCCAACATGCGACCAATACGCGGATCCGTGTCACATAACACCATGTGGGCCACTCGCGCGCGCCGCCGCGCGCGTGTGTCGAAATCGTTCCAACACCATTTGTTTAACTGTGTTCGACGCATTTGAAGGTAACGCTCTTCAATAAGTATTTTAGCAACAAGTGTTTGCCAACACAAGTCATACCAGTTTTGTTTGCAAACCCGCGCTTGCGCTTCCCCATCATCACCCTCATCAGCGCCGCCACGCCACGTCATCGTCATCGGCAATCGACGCGACTGCCGCCATGATCACTCAAGTACTTTCGTCGCCGACACTTGGGCAACATTATCGTGATCGTTGTCACCAACATCGGCACCGTCATTGGCCTTGCCGTCGTCGTTATCATCATCGCCACCACCATTGCTACTAGCATCATCGTTGCGTCGTTGTCGACGTCATCACGATACCGCGCCCGCCCGGGTCACCGACCTGCATTGAAATGCCTCCGCGCCAACGCGGCCTTTGAGACGCGTTGGGAAGTTGCCAGCGGTAAGTGCCATCGCGGCCGCATCGGTTGTGCCAAGCTTGCTGGGCGCTCAATTCGCGAGCTTGCGCGCGGTAGCCTCGCCGCAGAGATGCGCCAACCAGTGCGAAGGACTCACCGCAATCGCGGCCGCATGGGTTGAGCAAAAAATGCGGTGGTGGGGAGATTGCGCGAACAATGGGGATGACAATTCATGAGTAAGCATCAATTAGTTGAACTACGTAGGCTGCACCACATAGCTTGTACCATATAAGCTTGCACCATGCTGCTTGCACCACACACCTTGCGCCAGGTAGCTTGCACGACACGCGGCGATTGCGCCACGTAGCTTGCACCACGTAGTTTGCTCCACAGACCTTGCCCTAAAAAGCTTGCACCACGTAGCTTGCACCACAAATGTTGCACCGCGTATATTACACCATGTAGGATTCACCACATATCTTGCACTAAATAGCTTGCTTCTCATAGCTTACACACCGTTTCTGACACATCCGCATTGCGATCACATGCTGTTTGGGGTCCACGCTGGCTGACGTTGTCTTGAATAGCACCCGGAACGACAGCTACACGGACGGAGGGCGGTTTCTTTTCAAAGCGGTGTTGTTGATGAACATTTCCTTGAACTTGCAACCCCACATTGCTTCATTGCTGCGAATTCGAAAGCTAAAAGGCCGTGTCTTTCCAAATGGAGCTCCCGCCGGAATTGCGGGCCCAGTGGGCGTTGGTCTTCCAAGGGGGGCGCGTCGCGCAGGGGGAAAACAATGCTGGCAGGGACGGGTGAGGAGGGCAGCTGGGACGGGTGTGTGCGTTGTAGAAGCGCTGGTGCATCTTGGCTTTACTCTGGTCCTCCTCCCCCCTCCCCGTGCTCCTCCTGCTCCTGCTCCTGGTGCTGCTCCTGCTCCTGGTGCTGAGCTTCTTCCTCCTCCTCCGCAGCAGGTTCCGTCCCGGAGCGTGGCACATGCGCAGTGCCACCTTGGGAAGTCTGGACAACAGACTTCGAAGTTGCCGTGCCGCCAGAAAATGAAAATGAGGGCGCAGTGCTGCTGACGGGCAGGGGCGCGAAAGCTGGTGTGGGTACCCAGACGAGGCAGGCGACTCTGGAGAACGTGGTGCTACAGCTGATGATGAACGGGGGGCCAAGCCAGCGGCCTCTCCTGGCGAAGCTGGTGGCCACCGCAACGGAGGACCAGAGCCGCATCCGCTGCGACAGGACAATGAGCGCCATAAAGAAGGTCGGGCCAGAGACGGTCTGAGCTGTTGGTGTCTCTCCTCCGCTTCCTTCTTCTTTTTCTTCTTCTTCTTCTTCTTCTTCTTCCCCTCTCCTCCTCCTCCGCCCCCACCTCTCCCTCGGTCCAGCCTTCGAGCGGTGAAGGGCAGGCCATCAGAGGCCAAACGCCTCAGGAACCGAAGAGAAACTGAAGAGTACGGCGAAGGGCAATGCCATTATAAACAACAGAGCATCAGGGACCGAATAGTAGGTGCCGTGCAATTCCATCAGGTGCAGCTTCAGAACCTTCGACTGAGAGCGTGGTAGCCAACGTGCTGCCTTGCGCTTCACAGAAAGCCCATGTAATTTCTAACCTGCACGGCAAAGGCGTCTGGCATTGTGTCTGCTATCAACCTTACGACCCAATCAGCAATATCCACATCAATATCCTCCTCCTCCATCTTGTCCTCGTCCGCTCTTCCTCCTTCTCCTCCTCCTCCTCCTCCCCGCCCCCTCCCTCCTCCTCTTTCCTTCGCCCCGCCCCCGCACACACACACACACACGCACACGCACTGCAGGAAAAGGGCGCGCGCGAGACCGCGTGCAGTCGAAGATGCGAAAAGAAGACCGTCGACGCCGCCGTCGTCGCCGGTGCGCCCCCTCCGGGCTTCGCTGCCGAGCGACGCCTGCGAACTGGGCGGGGCGCCCGCGTTGAAGACGCCCCCTGGCAGCGCAAAGGCGCTGAAGATGCCCCCCGCGGCCGCCCCTGGGCTGAAGGCCTCCACCTGGGCTGCCCCTCCGCGGGCGGGGTCGGAGGTCGGAAGTAGGAGGTCGGAGGTAGGAGGCAGGAGGTCGGAGGATGAGGATGAGCATGAGGAGGAGGAAGAGGAGGAGGCGGAGGAGGAGGCCCACTGAAAACTCAAGAATCACCAGCGGTGTTGGCATAAACCCTCCCTTCCTCCAAGCTCCCTCTTCACAAGCCCCTACAAGGGTTCATTACCACTGAGAAAACTACCTCGTTGGGAGACAGTCGTCTGAAGACCCTGAAACATGCCAAAACATTCTTCTCGGGACTCCAACGCCACGGATCAACCTGACTGTTGCGTCTTGACGATCCTGAATCGTGTCAGAACGCCATCCCTGGGGCATCAACACCGCGAATCAACAGTACTGTTGCACCCACATGCTCCTGAATCTGTTCAAAACACCATGTCCGGTACCTTGACCATGGGAATCGGTAGGACTCTTGCAATGTTTTAATGGAATGTGCTCGGCGCCAAGGCGAGAACCACATATTGAAAACGAGCCGCCTTCAATCTGTGAAACGCCTGCAAATTGTTCAGACGAATGTGCGCGGCGCTAAGGCGAGAGCCACATCTTGAAAACCACCCGCCCTCAATCGGTGAATCCCTTGCATTTTTAAAAAGGAATGCGCGCGGCGCTAAAGCGAGAACCACATTTTGAAAACGACACGCCCTCAATCTTTGAAGCTTCTGCAAATTATTAAAACGAATGGGCGCGGAAATAAAGAGATAATCGCATTTTGAAAACGACCCGCCTTCCATCTGTGAAACTGTTGCCAAATCTTAAGCTTCAGGATCATAAGTGGTGAGGAAGCCTCAGGCGAAACGCCCAGCCCGCCCTTTCGACCAACCTCGGGGTGCGACAGGGAACAATTCTTGATAAGGAACAAGAATGGAGGAGAAGGAGGAGGATGAGGAGGAGGAGGAAGTGGTATAGAGGAAGGGAAGTGGCTGTGGTGGTCCCTTGGACGGGCTCTCCCCAAGGGGGGGGGTGAGAGAGAGAGAGAGAGAGAGAGAGAGGGGGAGAAGGGAGGAGGACGAGGACGAGGACAAGGAGGAGGAGGCATATGGGGGAGGAGGGAGGGCGTTCGAGGTCCTCGCTTCTATGGTCTTGTGATATATGTCAATCTCTGTGCCTCTCTCTCTCTCTTTTGTTTTTCGTTTTTGTTTTAATTAAAAAATGCTTAGTATTACTATTATTATTATTATTATCATTATTATCATTATTCTTATCACTATTCTTATTGCTATTATTGTTGTTCGTAAAATATTCGTCTTATTATTATTATTATTATTTTTGTGTTCTCTCTCTCTCTCTTTGCACTGCGTGCCTGTCTGCGAGACCGATGGCTCAGGCGAACGGAAAGAAGCTGCTACCCCCTTTATGCGGCTATCAGGTAGACAACGTGCCAACCAAGAGGTAGCACTCGGACCTTTGATTACGTGGAGATTGGTATAGGCAAACGGGAGGTGACACTCTCAGACTGGCCAGGCGATCTCGCCCAGGCCCCGTCGGGAAGATGGCTCCAGAATCTCGGGCGACAGCACTGCAGCAAGGCGTGCTGCACGGCGTGCCTGTGGCCAGGCGCGAACGACCTGGGCAGGAGGAGCGACCCAGGAGGGGCAAGTCGACACAACCGCTCCGACGGGAACGGGATCGATGCGCCGACGGCCTGCGAAGAGGAAGAGCCGGGCGCGGTCGTTCGTGTGAGGAGGTGCAGCCCGAGCGGGGAGGCGGCGCTTGCATCCACACCTGGCTTCGTGACGAGAACTCGCTCGTGGCCGAAGATGTGCGGCTTGAGGGGGAGAACGCGGCAAGCGGGGGAGCTGTGCTGTCTGGGCTCTTCGACGCTCGCCGCCCAGAACGGCGTGCGGTGGACTGCATGGCTGACTCTCTTGACGCGGTGTCAGCGTTGCAGGGGGAAGCTGGAGAGTCCGCGGCCAAATGTGTGGGCCGCCTGCGACTGGCTTGCACGATGTGCTGGATCCGTGCCAAGGGGCAATGTCCTCTCAAGCGATTGGTTGGACAATGTTCTGCATGTACGGCCTGGGTGAGTACCAGAAGGCGTTGATCACATCGCAACTCAAAGAGACCGTTCACGTGCTGCTGACGACGTGACGTCGCGGCAACGATAGCCAACTGATGCTCGAGCAGAACACGGCGGAATCAATGGCCGAGTCGGAAGTCGACGAGGATGGTTTCGGTGGCATCGATGCTTTGGTTGCTGAAGAGAGGGCTGCACGATCAAGGCCGACGAGATGTATGAGGAGACTGAGGTCAAGGAGGTCCTGGCGATCGCGTGGAAGGAGCGGCGCCGAGACCTCGCCTGAGCAAAGCAGCGAAGCAGGCTCGGCATTGCGGCCAGGTTGAGGAGCTCGAGACGAGGCTTCGACAGGAGATCGAGGAGGCCAGGCGGCGCACTCGCGACCGCAAATGCCAAACCTGGGCTCCTCTGCCCAAGAGCGCTGCGCCCCAGCTCCTGTGCTGCGCCGACGCGCCGACTCGGTCTGGTGGCCGTCGTCTCGATCCTCGGGGCCTGGGCGACACTAGGAGCGAACGTGCTCTGGCGCGAGGCGCTGCCTCAGCTGGCCGTCGAGGACAAGGTCGAGGGACAGCTGGATGTCTTCGCTGCGGTGCCAGAGCGCCTCGATTGGCTTCGAGAGAGGCTGGGGGTGCCAGCGGCCATGTCTGGCGCGAAGGGCCGGCTGCAGAAGACCAAAGAGACGAGCGTCGCGCTGTCGGGCACGGAGGTCTTCTTGACGTCGGATCTGGCCCATGGTCTCGTGGGTTCCAGCTGCAGCCGATGTGTTGTGGGTCAAAAGGCGCTCCAGAGGTGTTTGGACATGCTGCCGCCCGGGGCGCCATCTCCGAAGTATCGACCCGACAAACGCCCCTTCAGGTTCGGACGCAAATCCAAAGCGACGTCGTTGGGGAGTGTGAGCACCGAGCGGCAACGCGGGAACGCACGGGTACTTGGAAACGTCGGTACTTGAAGCGGATGCACCTCGCTTGGCGTACGAGCAAACGCTCGAGAGGCTCGAGGATCGGCCGGAACTCCAGAGAGGCAGGACGCCGATCCAAACACGGAGGGTGCAAGGCTCGAACATCAGAAGCAATCGTCGCCGCTTGATGGTCGGGAGGAAGCGTCGCCACGTGCAGACACGAAGGGCAGGAAGGAGCGCAGCTGCGCTGGCCAGGCGAAGGAGCCCTGGGCAGCGGCAGGATCTCGAGCCTGCGCTCTGGCGGGGCGAGGCACGTCGAGGCGGGGGTGCGCTGCGATGGCCGTAATCTGCGCACGAGCACTAGCATGTGGGGGGGGTCCAAACTCGGGAGCGGTCAAGAGGGGGGTGTCCAAGAGGGGGGGGGGGTGCAAATCATGACCGGCGGCATGTGCGCGGCCCAGCGGGGGGGCCTGGGACGTAATGAAATAAGAAGAAGCGCCATGAAATCTGAGGAACAATCATGGCCCGCGCCATGAAATCCCCCCCCCCTGGTCATCACCCCCCTCTTTTCCGCTCCCGAAGGGGTGGATTGGCAAGGTTTGGCCCGGGTAGAGGCCATGACGCCCACGAAGAGGCAACGTCACTGAATTCCGCGATTTCGTCATTACCATGTAACAAACGTGTCGATTCGAATCAAAACCGGGACTGGCTGCTTCTAGTGCGAAGCATTCCGTAGGTCTGCACGGTGAGGCTCTGAATTATGCGTTGCCAAACTCGCATCGACGATGACATGGCAAGGGCATTTTTTATCTCTGTAGGCCCTGCGCGCGCGCAGGGGGTTCATGCATGCATTCAGGAAGAGGGGGCGGCGGGCAGACTCCCGCGCGCCCACGCGGCCGCCAGCTGCGCCTCCAGGTCCATCAGGAGGGCTGACGTCGCGCCTCGGAGCTCGTCCGATGCCGACCGCCATTGGCCCGAGGCCTTCTCGGGCGCGGTCGGGCTCGGCTCCGAGTGGCGCTCCCGCAGGTCATCCGCCGAGAGGTCCGCGCAGGCGTCCTGCTCAGCCACGGCCTCTGCAGCACCCGCACTGCTGTGCGTGCCCACGGACGCCTGCGGCAGCACCTCGCCACCAGCAGCCTCGGACAGCCCGATGGGCTCCGAGGTGCCTGCAGTGCCGCCGCTCAGGGCGGCCTCCTGGGCGAACCCGCCGCGGGCTCGCGCGCCGCTGCCGTGCACAGGCGCCGTGCCCCCAGCAGCGGCATACAGCGCGTCGAGCTCCGCGATGCCAGCAGCGTTCACCTCCGCGTCGTGCGGCTTCACGAACTCGCCGCGACCCTGGGACTGCGACTTCGGTGGGCTGAATCCACCTGTCCCAGGGCCGGGCTCCGCCGCGGCGGCGTACCTGGAGTCGGCCTCGCCGCCGAGCTCCGCCGCCAGATCAGCCATCAGCTGGTGCAGGTCGTCCTGGACGCCGAAGGCCTCGTTCGCCGACCCGAAGACCTCCTCCACGAAGGCGTCGTGGAGCTCGGCTAGGTCGCGGGCGCGGGCGGCCGCAGCGCCCTGGGGGCCACCGAGCTGCGGCCCGCCGCTCCCGCCGTCGGCGGCCTCCACCTCCGTGTCGATGCCGTCGGTCTGCGCGTGCTGGCAACCCTCGCCGAGAAGCGCCTCCTGCATGGGGGCGGCGTATGCGATGAGGTCCGCCAGCAGCTGGTTGGCGTCGTGCGGCGTGTGGGGCACGCCGCCGCCGGGCGCGCAGGCGCCGATGGGGCCGAGGGGGACGAAGGGAGGCGCATCCGCCCTCAGCGCGCCATCGGCCGCCGCGCGCCGCTCCAGCCGTGGTCCCCGCTGCGCAGAACGTAGCTCCGCCGCGCTGGCCGCCACGATGTCCATGCCCTGCGCCTCGGCATGGAGGGCGACGTTGCGGCGCAGGCGCTCGAGCCAGGATGGGGTCCACCCTCCCAGCGTGGCCTGCAGCGCGGGGAGCATCGCCTGCAGCCTGTGGGCCACCTCGTCATCCCCGATGACCGCGCCCAAGGCCTGCTCCGCGGCCTCCAGACGGGCCCGAGTCCTCCCCAACTCGCCCGTCAGCCGCCGCACGGCGTTGTCGGCGGACCACTTAGCCCACTGCCGTCCCGCAGCACGCTGGGCCGCCGAACGCTTTGGCGCGCACTCCGCGCCATCCCGCGCCATCCTGGGTCCCGCGCGCCCGAGAGCGGGCGGACCTGGCCTTGAGCCAAAATGGCTACGGAATGGTAAGGGCATTGAATACGGAACAATCGGATAAGGAATTCAGGGTCTGGAAGCCAGTGGACCACCAACTGAGGCTTGACCATGGATATCACCGCCACCCTCATCAGATAAGGAGTCATCCAGGGTCTTAAGCCTCCCAGGCACATTCCTTAACGAGCGCTCCCAAAGGGTTGATATCCATATGAGGGGGTGAAAGCATCAAGGAGTGCACGCGGCGCCAGGGCGAGAGCACAAATGAACATTAAACCACTGTGTAGGTGACTATGCTTGTTATTTGAATATGTACGGCCGTGATCATGACGAAGGCATAATTCGGCGACGTTTCGAGTTCGAGCAATAGCAGCATCCCTCCATCCGAGTAGTCACCTGCTTGACTTTATTCATGGTATGAGGACACCCATGCAGGGGGGAAGGTGGAACGTATGCGAAATCCACACTTTGAAAAGATGGCGCTCTCCATCGGCGCTGCTGTTCTAGTATCCAATAAGTGACACACTTCGGCGCCTTATGCGAGAATTCGATTTTGAAAAGGATACGTCCTGCATCCGCGCGGCCGTTTGGCTTATCATCGTCAGTTCATGCAATCCGGAAGGGAAACGCATGTGGAAAATGAGCCGCCATTCATCCAAGTAAAGGGTTGGGAGTTGTACGACATGCGAGCGGCGCGTAGGCAAGATACCTGTTTTGAAAACGACACGCGCTCTATCGATGTACCTGGTTGAACATGTTGTCACGAATGTGCATGGCGCCAGAGCGAGACACACATATTTCGAAAACACTGCGACTGATGCGATTGGGAACATCAAGCAGCGGATGGGCGCATCGCTCAAACGAGAGGCGCACACACGGGAAACCACCACCCGCGGTCTGTCTACATTGCAGCTTCAGGAGGGGCAACTGACACAACGTCTTCCACAGAACGCCGAGGATGGGGAGGAGGAGGAGGAGGAGGAGGAGGAGGAGGAGGAGGAGGGATAGGAGGAGGAGGAGGAGGAGGAGGAGAGGAGGAGGAGGAGGAGGAGGAGGGAGGAGGGAGGAGGAGGAGGAGGAGGAGGAGGATGGGGAGGAGGAGGAGGAGGAGTCACGCAAGGAGGTAGGATGGAGTCCGAGGCAGAGGCGGGGAGGAGGGCAGACACCTGCACGCTGCTGGGGCGGGTGTCCCCGGTGCTCGACTCGTCGAGGTCCGCCACGAAGCTGCTGTCCTGGTCGGGACAATCGTATCACATTTCTTTTTCCTCCTCCTCCTCCTCCTCCTCCTCCTCCTCCTCCTCCTCCTCCTCCTCCTCCCCCTCCTTCTCCCCCTCCCGTCCTTCTCCTCCTTCTCCTCCTCCTCCTCCCCCTCCTCCTCCTCCTCCTCCTCCTCCTCCTTCGCTACCAAGAGAGACCACCTCTACGGTTCGACATCTGGCCCTTTCCGGAATTCGTGAATCCAAACGCATGTTGACGTCTCTTGGGGCCGCATGTTTTATTTCCGCTGGCATCCGCTGGCGGAGCCGCTCTTGTACTTCCTCCACCTTCCGCTGATGAAGGGATGGCTGCTTCTCGACCCCTCGAAAGCGAAACGATGTCTGGGACGCTCCATATCGTTGTACGCCCGAGCCTGTCAGGGAATCCGTCGACCCTTCGCGCCAGGGGCGACCCTGGTACCCCTCCCTGGAGGTCCAAAGTGTCCTTCAAGGGTGGGGGCTGGCGAACATCCCAGGCCGTCCGCGGCACCTCCTGGGCCCTCCGACGTGCTTTACATCCCCGAAACTTGGCCGCACTGGCCACCCAACGAAATCCAGAATTGCAGGAGCTCCGGGATTCTCCACGTCCTCCCGCTCCTCCACATGCCCCGTTTGCCCGACGACCCCAACAGGTCCCAAGACCCCACCCGCCGCATTCGTGCCCCTATCTCCAAACCCTCCATCTGTCCTCTCCCCCTACCTCCTCCCTCCTCCTCCTCCCTCATCGCCCTCCTCCTTCCATCTCTTCCCCCAATTCCTCCTCGCCTTCATCCATTCATACTCTCATTGCTGCTCCTCTGTTTCCTCCTTCGACCTCCTCCTACTCCTGATTCCTCCCGCTGGTCTCCCTCTGGAAAGAAACTTTTCTCCTGAAGGCGGATACAACTTGAGCCAAACAAGTGCAGAAATAGGCCCAGGCAACGATTAACGAAAGGTGGCTTCCCCCTGGCGTGACAATTACACAGCTGCTATACAAATCATACAATCGTTCTGGCCGATCCTGCTAACCCAATCGGAACGGTACATTATACCCCCCCTCGGCTGATAAACCGAATGTGGACACGGGTCACATGTAAATAACAAAAGCGACTGGGTAACGGAAAGGTTGAAAACAACTGACAATCCAGTGAAGCCAGGACTCCATCCTAGCAGGCAGAAGGCGACTGTGGTTTGGGCGTGAACGTGCAGGGGCCTCCGAACACGCGCTGCACTATCTTAAAGTGTTACAATACACCAAACTATGCAGACGGATTAATTTTTCTGTAGTAGGTGTAGAAGAACACCTGGATCTCAAGTGATCCTGAACTCCAGTCTCCGGCCACCTGGCACGTAATAGTAACCCGAACACAGGTTAAGCGACCACTCTGTAGCAGGTGCCAGCTCACGATTTTCGCTAACGATATGTTGATTTGTGCCTTGCATGTGCATTGACATGTCGTCCCTGCTCACGTATTTGGTTAAACATCTGCAAGGTTATCATGTGTTCCTACATTGGTCTCCTTGATGTCTCCTCATCGTACCTTTTCTTGGCTCCAAAGCTGGCAGACCTCGATGTGTCTGACTTTTCGTCCTCGCCGGCTTGCGATGGCAATTGCCGCGCTATCATCGCTCCTTAACACGATGCCGCATTCAACGTTGAAGTCTTTGAGAACTGCTTGTAGCCCTAAGGTTGCTGATCCACTTCCACCATTCCGTAATACTTCACTTAAAAAATGCCACGACGCTCTGAGTCGAACTCGACGGCTTAATCAAATCTGATCCCTACATAGCTGTTCCCACACTTGTTGATGTCTGTGTTTTCTTACATCCGGCATGGTCGGTGTCAGTCCACGCGACTCGCTCCGCAGGGCGTGCTAAATACGGATGCTCACGCCAGGGCGTTCTAAATACTGATGCCCACGCTTGTCGTGGTTCTCGAAGTGCTAGCTCAATTTGGTCAAGCCTTTCCATGCCCCTCGGGTTGGGGCTGACATAGAGTGTGCAAGCTCCTCGGCTGAAAACTTAATCCTGGAACGATCCTGTCGAAGACAATCGATTCAGGCCATGAATGCTGAATTTGTCATAACTTCGCGGAACGGAATCGGCTCCTCATCTTCCTCCTCGTACATGTATTCTCTCCTGGTGTCTGGCATCTCACTTTGTGCTGCTCCAGGGTCGATTTTTGTATAACCCGTCCCGGTTCCAATCCTACAACTCGGTTGAGAATCCGCATGTACTTTCAATCTTGTGGTCCTGTTCCGAGTCCGCCTCAGATCTGAACTTCGCACTTCCTGTCAACTTATCCTTCGAACCAGCCAAGGTCAACATCGTTGCCAGATCAAATGGGATCGCCCCCATGCGCTGTCAGCCAGATTCGCCTCGTCTGGCTTTTCAGCGGGCGCGGTGATGCTTGTCCGTCGTCAAAACCAAAGTCGCGCGCGAAATCCATGTAGCAGTCTTCCCAGTTGCTGGCAGCGTCTGGGGTGCCATGCGTTGGCTTTAACAATCTTCCACGCATGCCTGGTTCGCGGTCTTGTTCGGGTAACCTGATGCAGATGTTCTTCGTGGCCTTGGCGTGGAAATATACCCACCTAGCGTTGAGAAGTCCCAGCTTGGGCGCCATCTCGCGCTCCCCGCGGTTATGTCCTATCCCCTCGGTAACGGCCATGGAGAATCCTAGCTTTGGAGCTTCCAATGAAGAGGGGGCTGCAAATCGGTTCAATTCCTTGGAATTCGATTGAATTTGCTGTGCCGCCAGCCGAGATCTGTACTCAAGATTGGCCTCGCTGCCCTTCTTGATGTCTATCCCCCTCGTGCCTAGTGGTGCTCCACCGGTAATTCCTGAATTGCGCCGTCTCCTCCCCCCGAGATTTTAGCGGGACTTCTGGGTCAAGCTCGCTCCCTCATATATCCTCCCAAGCCCGTGCTTGTCTACTTTCGTGGTGAACTACGCATATGTCCTTCCGGTTGACTGGCTGTGCATCGATAGCGATTCCACATGCCTCGCGTGTTCCTGGAACTCTCAACCAGCCCCAGTGTTGGCGCGCTCCGCAAATCTACGGATTTGGCTGGATGCCCCGGGTATCCCGGTAGTTGTATCGGTCGGCGACAATGCGCGTGCCTCCTCTGAACTCTCTCCCGTGCCCCTTTCTTTCAATGCCGTTAAGTTCCCTGTGCTCAAGTACTTGGCCCGTGTCCGAGCCCCGGGCAATCCCGCGCGCGCATGAACTCCACGTTGGTCCTGAACTTCCTGGAAACATGAAGCGAGGTGTGCCGTAATCTTTCCTCGTCCAAGTTGACGCAGGCCCATTCCCCCACTCATGCCGCTGATGGCCGACCTCATTGATTTCCGTGCTTCCGTCTGGCTCGCTCCCCTGGGCCAGGGGCTTTGAGGGAACGCCTTAACCGATCGCAATCAGTCATCTGGCTAACCAGACCTTCAAGTATAGCTCGACAGAGTCAATCTGGATATGCATCTGATTTCTTTGCTCTCACCTCCAGTTAACTCAATATGCCCGCGCTGGCCATGGCGCGCCGCGCTGAGGGCCTTTCTGATGTAGGGGCTGTTAGTCATGAGTTGTGGGGGTTCCTCCAGAGCCCCGCTTCTCCGCTTGCCGCCTGATTCAAATGGTGGCGGCGCAAATCGCTATCGCGTGTCCGCGCGTCGTCGTGCTCCGACATTCTCTGCGTCAGCGACGCGGTCTTGCAGGGCCCCCCCGCAGGGGGTTCGAAGAGAAGATCTGACGCCATTGTTTCTCCGAGCCTCGCGCATTCCCATCGCAAGCTGGAGGTGCTCGTCCCCGTGGCCAAACCTTTCCCTCATCCTTTCCGGCCTGAGTCTTTTCGAATAGAACGCGTGGGACCTGCTGAAGGCTTCGCGCAGTGGGCTCTCAGTTGATAGCGATGCTGCTCTGCTCTTGATTGCTGCATTTGCTGCTTCTGCCCGCGTCGCCTCGCACTTGAAGTCCGCTGGGTTCCCAAGCTTATCGCGTGTAGTTAGGGTTCATGGCTGCAGCCCGGTAGCGGTCTACCCGGTGGCGGTCCAGCGTGTTTCGCCATGCGCGTGACTCGGACTGGCGAATGTGCCTCAGTGGCGTGTGCCTGCGCGTCATGCTGACCCTTTCCGAATAGCCTTGCTGCTTTCCTAATTTTATCCACCTGTATATTCGCGCCCAAGTGGGTGCCCAATTGCTGCTCCACCGCGTCCGAGTCGCAACCTATCATGTTTAATTGTGTGAGCGCCTCATCGGTGTTCGAATTATCTTGTTCTTCACTCTCCTGCCCGAGTTTAGTTTCTTGCGTGTTTTCGTCGCCGGGTTCCTCCCCCACCCAAGCTCCTGTGTCTTCTTGTTGCACATCCCTGTCCTCGCCCTCGTCATCACTAGTTTTCTCGTCCTCTCGCTGTTTCGTGGGCCCTCTGCCTTCCTGTTCGGTCTGGGTGCAATGGCGTTGGCCTGGCGCTCGTCGTCATTGCCGCCGGGGGTGGCGCGAAACCCAATCCATCATCCCGTCCAAAGTCCTCGCGACTCCTTTGCATCCTCATCTTCCCATCGTCGGAAATATCTTCTGTGTCGCATGTTTCCGTGTGATTTGAATGTGTTCGTCATCCCTAGGTCTCTGGGCGCAAGCATGTTGGTTCTGGGTGCGCGGTGTCGGCGAACGGCTAACTTGACGGATTGACTATGTGACGGGTCCTCCCAATTCTTGTCCAGCTGGTGGCCATCCGTCTCCGTCCTCATCTGTGCTGCTGCTCGCTTGTCTTAGATGTTCGGGTCGTCTTGCTCTGTGAGCCAGTCAGTGACGCGTTCGCGTCATTCCGCGCTGTGTTGTTCGTGCGTGGTCTCCTCTGACTACTGCTTTGCGCCCGTGCCATCCAGGCGTGTTCCCTATGGGCATGCGATCCGACTTCTCCGCCGCGACCCCTCGGGCTACTCGCGGCTGGGTATCTGCAGCCAGACCTTGGTTGGGTGCAGCCATCGGTGGAATTGCTCTGGCCGCAACCTCCATCCCTGGCGCGATTGGGTATGGTTGCCAAGGTAACCCTTACATGTTGTTAATCTTATTCAAACTCCACTTCTCCTCGCCACTTTCTTTGCGCCAGAACTCGTGGGACTTGGGGGCGCCCTCTGAGGTGCAAGCGATTCGTTCTTGACTCGCTTCATGTATTCCCGGAGATGCGCCGCTCTCCCATCTTGCATTGAGGTCGCTGCCTCCGTTCTCAGGCGGGGTCTCCTGGTTTGTGCTGCGTTCTCTAAGCTCGGATATAATGGCGCTTTGAATTTTCGCCCTCAGCACTTTTCTTAGGCCCTCTTGCTATCAGTGTCTATCGTAAACTCGTGGATGAAACAAAAATCCTTGGCCGCTAACCAGGGTATACATGCGTGCTTCTTTCCGCAACTCTACTTTTTGCTGTTGTGGTCCAACGCAGTCTTGAACATCTGGACTTGGCCATTCGCTACTCAGGTTGCTCTTTCGACTTCGCCGTTCGCTCGGGGTCCCCAGACAGGGCTGACCTCGTCTCCTAGGCTGGGGTCTCGCGCAGCGTTGACGGCTGTCCTGAGCGCCGTGATGGGCGACCCCCCATAGGCTCTCGAGGATCGCTCTGTTTTGGCCAGTGAGCAGAGTCGTATCAGGCGACGGTTTGACCGAATTCGGACCCACGCCCATTTTCAATGCACCTCGACTCCAGGTCGACTTCGTGTCCTGGCAGTGTGTGGCGATGATAATGTTTTCTGTGTCCTCTTCCTCGCTGTCTCCTTTCTTCCCGCTTGATCACGGGTAGTCGACTGAGATCACCAGCGTGCCTTGTCCTGACCTCCTTACCTTTCCCCGTGGGTCTCCTCCTGGCTTTTCCTCTGGCGCTGTGGGGGCGCCAACTTCTGTGGAGTAATTTTGCCGCGTAACTTACCTTCTTTACCTTGCTCGGTCTCAAATAATGCGTGATTCTTTAAGGCGCTCCAGCCTCCTCGCCCACGTCGCTTCACTTGCCGCCCCCGTTCTGGTCCTCTTCGTCCTCCTCCGGGTTCGCGGCGTGGTAGACTGGGAATTTCAGTTTTCCCCCGCGGCTCGTCGTCCTCTGCCGCGTTGCTTGGCGCGCGAGGTAGCTGCGAGATCGCCCGCCGTTCTCTCGACCTAACGCCGCGCGATTCCCTGCCATGGCAATTTCACGCGCGGGCCCGCATTAACTGCTGGTGTGGGCGTGCTCGCCGTGGACCTCTTTTCGTTTCTACCCGCGACTACTCGCTGCTCGTTGTTCCTGGTGAGTGACCGATTGGCTGCGCTGTAGTGTTTGCCGTTCGTGGGCGCCTTCGTTGCAGTGCTGGGTCCACCGTGGCAGCCGTCTTCATGCCGCTATCCTGATCTCGCACTGGTACTTCGTCGACTTCCTTGTTGGGCCCCTCCAATTCTAATACTTCTTATTCTGCGTACTTTTGCATCTATTTTTTTCCTGCCTGATTCGCTCTGTGATTCGGAAATCCCATTTCGTGCCGTGGTCGCAGTTAACGCTGCGTGCGTGGATCGTGTGCTCTCTCTTGATTCCGAAGCTTGTTTCCCTGCCCATCCTCTTTGTTTCCTGGTGCTGGGTCCTCCATTCCTGTGCCCCTTTGACTGGCCCCAGAATTTCGATGTCGCCATTCATTCCTCCTTCCTTGGTGGCCTCGCTAATTTCAACGTTGTGGCATCCTGGCCCGGGCTAGGGTTTCCCTGATACTCGTGTGGGTTTTGCTGGGTTTCCGGCCCCCCTCGACCTGGGGTAACCTCATTGGCGTGATAGGGCAGCGCAAATCCCCGCTTCGCCTCTTCCTTTCCGCCCTGGGGCTGTGCTCTGGTATCCTCCCCTGGGCCCCACTTGCCGACGCACCTGGGTCACCCTTGGATCCTTTTTTCATCCCCTTTTCCACCTCTTTTTCTTTTCTTGGCACTTTTGGTGGCGCAATCTTTGGCAACGTGCCCAAATCCTCCACGCTTGAAGCACATGGGCCCTTCACCTGTTTTTCTTTTGTCTACTTCATTGGTGTCGCAGTTTCAACTCGTGTCCTCCGCGGCCCCAAGTCCACCAGCTCGCACTTTCATCGTGATACCCAGGGTCAGCTATGCCTGAGTCCCAGTCACCAGCATATTCGCCCATGATTTGGTAAGTCTCCATATAGTCGTTGTTCTTCGTGTTTGCATCCATTCTTATTTCCTGGCCAAGTCGTCGCACTTGACGACTGGCTTCTGGTCTTCAAACCATAGTGTTGCCAGTCATCGAACAAATCAACACCATAACTCATGATGATTCTCGGCGCAATAACCCTGAATGGTAACGGTATCGAATACGCAGGCCCAAACTTCTCCATCTACTCTCCAATGCACTCCAAAGCCCCAACCGTGTTGCAACATCGTTTGCCTTCTCGTTTTTTTGTGTGTGTTCTTTTTTTCTTTTCTTTCAAAACCCAGTGCCAGGTTCATCTTGTGGGAGTGCGAGACTCCAATAACGGCATAATGCCATATGTATATCTTCTGGTAACCCACTAAACCGTTACATATGTGAAGGCCCTTGAGCTTTCCGCGGGGCTCCGTCTCCTCCAACTTGTCGCTAACAGATGCCAG